ATTTTGATCAAACTGCTTTCTTTTTTTTCAGGCCTTGGTCGTAAAACCCTGTGACTACCTGGAGAGTCTAGTTCAATATTCACATAGCTCAGCTCAATTCTTGGTCTTCATACACTGCAGAGGTAGATGGAAGATCAAAGTCGTAGTCAGTTTGTGTCACCTCACTAACTTTCTTTACATAACCAGGTAAAAAATGTGAACTTTTTTGTTTCTGTCGCCTTTCATATTGAGAGTTTTCAATGGAAATGAGTGAATTTCTCATTTTTGCTAAATATATATTATTTTGAGACTTGAGGGAGGTGAAAATATCAGCAGAATGATATATTGAAGACAGAATGAATACACAGAGAAATCATTTATTTCTATTTACTATGTGGACTGATTTTGGTTTCTGGGGTTTAGGGATCATAAACCTTAATGAGTTATGTAATGATTGTAACTTTAACACACTACCTAATGGATATATGGTCTTTTAAGATTCATTCTTTAAAACATTTGGTTCCATGTTATTTCTATTTCTGCAATTGTCATTAATTTAAGAAGCACTGTGGTTTTTGAAGTAGAAACAGGCAGAATTATGTGCGAAGTAAATGTGACGTAATAAATTTGACCCTTATTCTGTGTAATTTATGTTTTTCAGGCTTGGTTTTGGTCAACGTTCCTTAATCTTTTTACAGAATTGAATTATCTTCATAAATAAAAAAGTTCTGACCAATTCAGAATCGTACGTATACAAGCTTATACAGTGCATATATAGCTTATTATAGGAAAGACAGTAAGAAAGTAAAAACACTACCACTGGTTTACTTTTAGGTTTATTTGCATAATTTTTGGTCAGGTTGTTCCACAGATGTTATAGAACAAATTAAAGCAAGAAAAAAAACATTAGCTACATATATAGGACTCACTCCACTAAAACATTTTATGCAAATGATTGTATAGGAATGTAGTCCAGGCTACTTTTAGAAATCTTCTTTCTCTCTCCCTTTTGGGTAAAATTTGGTCTAGATTTGGAATTTGATGTCTGAAATTGCATTATCTTTCAGATTTGGTGAGATGATGAGAGACCTAAAGGCGGAAGGCTAATTCTAAAAATAGTCGTTTTGTGAAGTGCCAAACTCCAGCGGATGAGTATAACCGGTAGTAGTCTACTTTCAATTTTAGTAGCTCAAAATTTTCATGGTCATCATATAATGAATTTTTTAGGTGACGTCGAGAATTGGTCAGGCTTTCATTCGACATATTGGAAAGCTTTCAACGAGATTTCTGGAAAAAGTTATAGAAGGTTGAATTTCGTGTTTTAACATGGGAAGAGATGGCAAATGAATTAGTGGAGTGAGTCCTGATACCAAAAATCTAATTTGTGCAAGATATTGTTGATTTAAACAAACACACATTATTTAATAAGATAGCTTGCCAGGCAAGGTAATATACGCCCACTGGCAGCTTTGATTTTGAATAAAAATATTTAGCAGTACAGTAATAATAACCAGTATGAAATATTCAACCTTCAGTCATACACTTCTTTTGAACTTTTTAGGGCGATACTGAATAATATTGATCAATTTTTAGCTTGTGAAAACTCTAGAAAGCAAATATTCAATCTTCAGCACGGGACTGAATAATGAAACCAAGTTTCGTCAAAATCCAGTAAGAATCACGCCTTTTAGTGTTTAAGAGCTAATATAAAAGTGTTTTCCAGAACAAGGGCAATAGCTCATACTAAATATTTTTCAATTCTTCGTATTTTCAATAGGGTTCATCTTTGGGTGATTACGAACATTCACACCAAGTTTCATCAAATTCCGTCAACAATTGTGCCTTCTAGAGTGATTACGAGCTAAAAATTGAATGCGTTTCCAATAGCAAGGGCAATAACTCATACTAATTATTTTTTGATTTTTCTGATTTCAAAAAGGGTTCATCCTTGGGAGATTACGAACACTCCGCCAAGTTTCGTAAAAATCCGTCAAGAATTGTGCCTTCAAGATCGTTTACGAGCTAAAACTCATATTAAATATTTTTCGATTCTTCTGATTTTCAATAGGGTTCATCCTTGGGTGATTACGAACACTCATACAAAGTTTTGTCAAAATCCGTCAAGAATTGTGTCTTGTAGAGTGTTTACGAGCAATTGTGGACGGACTGACGGGGGTACCGACAATATACGTCCACTTAGAGAGATGTGGGCATATAAAAACTGTTCATCAAAAGATAGACAAGTTCAATCTTGTCCAAGATCTCATTATTTTAAATATTCACACCAAATTTCATTGAAATTGGATGAAAACTGTAGTCTCTCAAATGTTCACAACCAAATTTTGACGTGTTTTTTTTAAGTCAAGGGTAATAACTCAAAAAACGTTCGTCGAAAGATGTGCATGTCAAACTTGTCCAAGATCTCATCAATATAAATGATCACACCAAATTTCATTCGAATCAGATGAAAACTGTAGTCTCTATTGCATTCACAAGCCAATTTCAATTCGTTTAGGCTAAGTCAAGGGCAATAACTCAAAAACAGTTCATCGAAAAATCGTGAATATCGAACTTGTCCAAGATCTCATCAATACAAATGATCACACCAAATTTCATTCAAATCAGATGAAAACTGTAGTCTCTATTACGTTCATAAGCCAATTTTGACGACAATGGGTGACGACAATATAAAAATAATAGAATATATAAATTATTCAGGATGCTTAGAAGAGAAATATTTAAATGATACTCACCAAATATTCTTGTTTAGGATCTAAAGCTAAACTTAAAACAGGAGCTTCATGTCCACGGCATACTTTATGGTTACTACTTTCAATATCAACTACTTTGATAGTAAAATCACTGTAACATTAAATATCTTACATTACTGTAACATTAAATATCTAACATTACTGTAACATTACTATAACATTAAATATCTTACATTACTGTAACATTAAATATCTAACATTACTGTAACATTAAATATCTAACATAACTGTAACATTAAATATCTAACATTACTATAACATTAAATATCTTACATTACTGTAACATTAAATATCTAACATTACTGTAACATTAAATATCTAACATAACTGTAACGTTACTATAACATTAAATATCTTACATTACTGTAACATTTACTGTAACATTAAATATCTTACATTACTGTAACATTAAATATCTAACATTACTGTAACATTAAATATCTAACATAACTGTAACGTTACTATAACATTAAATATCTTACATTACTGTAACATTTACTGTAACATTAAATATCTTACATTACTGTAACATTAAATATCTAACATTACTGTAACATTAAATATCTTACATTACTGTAACATTTACTGTAACATTAAATATCTTACATTACTGTAACATTAAATATCTTACATTACTGTAACATTAAATATCTTGCATTACTGCAATATCAAATACCTAATAGTTCTTAACTTTTTCATATCAAATAAGATATCAAAAGAAGAAATTGAAATTCATCAAATTGAAATGATTGAAGTTTTAGGTCCTTCTTTTCAAAAATTTTCGATGTTTTTGTTGCATAAATGTGTGACTGGTGCCTAGCTATGACAAATTTTGCTCTTCCATGAATATAAGGGGGAGTGGCAGGAGTTGTTATTAACATTCAATCCCATCCCCACCATGTGTGATACATTGTATTTTATTATATAGCGATATATCACTTGATTTATTGGCAACACAACAAGAGATTATCAGTAATGTTATATATTTTCAATTGTTAATAGATTTACATAATCTCGTCTTGTGAGCTTATTAAATTAAATTTTACTGTTTGAGGCTGAGCAGTGAACAATTTGCCCATAAAATTAGGAAGATTGAAAATGTTGAAGTGTCTTACCTTGATCCAGCAGCCATCGTGGTTCCAGATTCATTAAGAACCATGTGATTAATTGATGCAGTAAATCTGGTAACAATGCCATCTGGTAAACCATCAGGAAATGTATTAGCTTGTATAGAATTACTGTCTGATGCTGTAAAAAATCTTCCATTCTAAAATACACAAATTAAGCTTACTAGATAAAAAACCAGAACCTTTTGTTTTTGATTACTTAAAGTATGTTGTTGTTGGTTACACCTGAATCACTTTTTCACTTTTTAAACTGAAAATATTCTTTTCAAGATAATGCTTGCAGGCCTGTAACTTTTGTGCACTTCTTATATTTCTCATCTTTGCCTCTATGAGGCTTATTATTCCATAAAAACTTATAATTAGGAAGTTACCATCATGCAAACACTATTTAGACAAAATGCTTTTTGCAATCAGTCATGTGACATCTTACAAAGTTTTTCCAGGAATTTTTGATTCAACAGAAAAAATTCTTTATGAAACATTTACAATCAAAATGAAATAAATTGTGTTGAGATGTACCTTAAAAGCTATAGAATAAACAGTATCACCAGCTCTGTGTGATATAGTGTCATCATCATCAATACCCTGCCATATTCTAACATCACCATCTGTACCACAAGTCAACATATATCTGTAAGTTTAAGGTAGGGTAAGTCTTACATAATATTGTATCAACATACATCTAACAGTAACAGTATATGGTAGGGTACATAATATTGTATCAACATATACATCTATAAGAATATTGTACGGTACATAATATTGAATCAACATATATCCATAAGTATATGGTACCGTTACTTACGTTTCATTTCTCTGGTGTTAGGGTGTATTGAGACGAGTATCATCTGACTATGTGGGGGGTGGGGGGTATATTATGACTTGTGACTTTATGATAGATTACGATAGGCCTATTTATCGGCAAAACTCACCTTCCGGAATCATCAAAACATAGGTCAGTGTGGCCGTCATTGTGCGCATATCGTAAAGGTTTCATTTTGTTTCTAAAATACGAGGAAACAAATAATTAGGACTAATTCAATTTTTGAAAATTCAATATTCCAACGCTGGATAACCACTGGAAGCTTGTTTACATTTTTACAAATTGGCGGGAGTTTTAGAGACAATTACTCAGCTGATATTTCATTGGCTAAAATTCGCCTTCGGTTTATAAAAGTTATCAAATTTATTGTAAAATGAGATAAATACTTTGATAATTATATATATTATATAATTTAAGATATAAAATGTAATATATTCCGTATATATGAAAACTAATGCAATAATAACGTTAGTGAGAGACTTGATGATCGGACATAGGGGATTTTCCTTCTGACGTCATATTTAGAAACTCCTACACATTCCATTAACAGATTATCATTTCCTGTTCACGGTGGATACTAATGTTTTGTCAGTTAACTGTCAAAAATATCAAGGCTTAGTTATTTTCTAATTGCAGTCTTGTATCATTATGATATTAACGGAGAACTTACTCTCGACGTTTTAACTCCCTTATTCTTCAGATACTTTAGCAGAAAAGTAGACTATACAGATACAGTTACACTTCCATCCAGAATGGCCAAATCAACTGCAGCAGCAGCAGGTAAATTCTGAATAATATCACAAACAAACTTTCCTGCCTGCATGTTTAAATCCATTCAATAATATGATGATAAGAAAGAGAGTATAAATACCCTCAGATGTAACATTACATAGTTAAAAGGAGAGATTTGCCATTCGTTTGACCAATTTTACATGAGTACCAGTAAGTTGCAGAAACAGGAATTTGTTAGCTAAGCAATCCAGAATAATCCACAGTTGAATGTTTAATTGACTACTTGTCATTTTTCAAGACTGCCTTATATAGAAAAGACATACTGGGTATGTATTTTTGAAGGAAATATGTGATTTTTGTACATTTCTAGTACTTCTGAGGACTTTTTATTTACATATATTCAAGACGCAAATCAACCCGAAAAAAATGGTGAATAGTTGGGTGAAGCTGCCCTATCTGCAAAGGCCCAACTTTCCCAAAACTCGTGACTAAAAGTAACAGACAAGTATTTGCAAGGACTGAGAAATGCAGCTTGACTGCTGAAGAAGAAAATTAACAGGCATTTTGTTCTTTCAAATGCTTAATTTTATAGATGATTATAGGGGTATGTCTTAAGTAAGAATTTCACATAGACTTGGAAAAATATTGATAATGCTGTAGAATAAGAGCATTGAGTATGACCTTAGGTATACTAGCTATTAGCATATTAATAGTGGAATCTAGGCTTTGTATATAGTCCTAAATAATCTTAGTTATGTATGAATTTCTGTTTCATTAATTTATTCAAGCACCTAATGACACTGTGTGCATACCATTAGGCCTACTATTGTATATGTATGGATTCAAAAGTCAACTGCCAAAATAACCCTTAAGAATGGAACTAATCAAATGCCTTGTTTGGTATCAATTTGATGATACAATCTCAAAGATAATAAATTCTTATATTGAAATTTTTTTTAAACAGTCTCATAAACAAGAATTTTTGAGGTAAGCCAATCTGTAGTGTGTTCACAGCTCACCTTCGAAATTTGAGCCTTCAAATCCATGTGTGTCCAGAACTATCAGCATTTGAAAGTCGTCTTTTTTTGAGACACTGTCATATACAGTAAAGGAAAGGAATTCCTAGTTTGAGATATTTTTGAAGGAATTATGTGATTTTTGTACATTACTAGTACTTGTGAAGACTAAAATCAACCCCCCAAAATGGTGCAACTGTCCCTTTAAATAGAACAGAATTTATAAGCTTAATCTCTACCTTATGAATATAGTACAGGTGTAAATCTTATAGAATTGTTATCATAAATGGTTGTCCAGATATCTCGAAATATATCTAAAAGATATAATATTGATTCAGACATGGTCTGACATGGTCTTATTAACCCATATTAAAGTAAGCCCACTACACTTTGGTTTGTGGGCAAGGAGATTGGGGTTATCTGATCAGATCATTAGAACTTAAATAAGGTCGGGAAAACAAAACAGATAATCAATTTACCGCCACTCGTTTAAAGAGATAAGAATACATTCTTTCCACTTTCCATCAGCTTCAATTCTTTACCAACATTTTATTTAATTTTGTATCTATCATATTAATCAAAACATTGAATGACACGCTGCTTTGGTTTTGTTTACGTTCGTGAACATTGCGTCATAACGAGTGGTTTAATTTGATTTGCCAAAGATTCCCTATAAAGATTCCAGGGCCAATTTTGATTGTACAATATTTATCTATAAATGTAATGGACGTATGACGAATTCCTGAATTTACTTTTCCTGCTCCTGCTTAGAGATTATTGATTATTATTTTTGGTTATAATTCATAGAAAATAAAATGACAATAATGCTAAACTTGTTCTTGGTGTATCGATGACCTGGGGCCATTTCACTAAAAATTTATGAGCGACTTATGCAAATATTTAAGCATGTTTCCCTAGTCCCCTAAATACTTTAATATGGTCTATGTTGATGCAAATTCATGGTGAACTTTTCTGCAAAATGGTGGTTAGATTTTTAAAATGTCAAAAGATGTCACTATGATATTTACGACGTTATCTTGACTTACGATTGACAGTCGAAGAAAGGTCAAAAATAAAAAGAAAAGGGCAAATTTTGCTGAAAAATTTTGAAACATCCAGTGAAAATGACAATTTGCATCTATTTTCAAGCATTTGGAGTTAGGCAAAAACTTATGAGGTGCAAATTTAGACAGACTTAAGAAAATTTTGAAATTGAAAAGTTTAGTTTGACCCATTGCTCAAGGTTTTATGAACTAAGTTGATGAAAAATCTTTAAGGTCATTTAATATTGAGTAAGTGCAAGTTATTTTGCCTGGCTAGCTATCTTTCTGACCTACAGATTTGGCATTTCATGTTCACTGTGACCTGTACAATTACTTATATTGCATCATGACAATAAATAGTTTATGGCGTGAACAGTTGAATGAAGTATATATATTGTATTAGCTTATGCTTATTGTAAGTTATTGAAGTAAGTTGATATATAACTAAGGCTCTTGTTAAAAGTATTTTTAGAGCTTAAAAACTGTGAAAGAATTATATGTAGGTGTTAATAGCTTAACAGTGTATGCAGATTTATTAATGGAACATCAAGTTACCTGCAAGGTATGTTGTTTGAAAGGGTTTAGTATATTTAAGCTTATTGTATTGTATATAAAGCATATATAATATAGTTAAAGTTACTATTGAAAATTTTCAAACCTTTTGATACCATGATGAATTTTACCGAATCACATATATCTTAATGAGTTGAGCTAATTAAGATGGGCAATGCCAAAAGGATGATTTTACACAGGGAGAAAAGCCATGGCTTGTTTGTATTGATTTCAGTTTAGGCTTTGTTTTACATGGTATTACAATGATTGATATGAAGTTTTAGTTAAGGTAGTTTAGGTAAGGAAGGCAACAGTCAAGTAACATTTTTGCTGATGATGTTATATGTATCAGGTATAAGTAAAATAATATCTAAATATCTAATATCATTTTAAAATGATGTTTTTTTTCTCGAATGATTAGATTTCTATTGCAGGTTTGGTTCATTTTAGAATTTATTTCAATAAAATTACCAAATTTTTGATCTTGCTAATCAATTATAGTTTTTAAATATATGTCTGAATTTCTAAAGTATCTACATTTATTTAGTCTGTATATGTTTTGGTATATATAAATAATAAAGAAGTGAAGAGGAAGTGCTACATATGTCAATAATTAACAGACTTCTTCTGACATGGGAAGTCTTTTAAAATGTAGTGTAGCATGTGATAAATGTAGGGTAACATATGAAAAACAGGATAGGCACCTATTAGATTCTACCAAAGAACATTTAGATTCAAATATTCAGAAAGAGAACATCAATGGAAGCTTGAGTTTGGTAATTAAATTTGATAGAGAGGATAGTAAATTGTTGTTCAAGCTGTATCTGTCTTGAGGTATGTTAAAATTACTAAGAAAGATATATGAATATTTTATGAAGGACAATCAGTTTGATTTTATTTTATGCTGTGTGTAAGAAAGATTTTGTTTATTCTATATATAACCTAATTGACAGATATGATGAATGATGTCAAATACTCTTTTGAACTGACAAGGAAATGGTTTATATGTTCAATTTTGTGAAATCTTTCAGCTGAAAATAGAAACTGGTAATAATTACTGCTAGTACTTTTGATATTTTCAATTTTGTAGGGGTTATTGTAGAATAATGGTCAAAGTTGGTTTATTTATAATGTAAATTTGCTAGACAGTTCAATAGTTTTGTGATTCAGTTTTAAAATATATATTACTATTATACAGATTTGAATTTAATCACAGGATTCAATTGAATGTTTAGTATGTACTACAAAGTATGTAGCATTATATAATACATATTACTCAACAAGTATTGATGAAACTTCTTTATGTTAAGTGAACAAATGAAATCTTTTGAGTGTTGATTATTATTATTATTAGGCTTCTTGCCATTGTTGCCAAATTATGAAAATCTATTTTTTTTACTTTTCTTGAATGTTTGAAGGTATTGATTGTGTACAGGTATAATGTTAAATGGTATTTTGAGCAGTTGGTATTGATATTTGATATTGTTTTGTTATATGGTGTAATGAAAATAGTGACCAACTTAACAATAATAAAATACAAGTTTTATTTTGTAAACTGCACTCTGAAGTGAGCATTTACATTTTGAGTTTAGATCAATTGTAATTTTCTTGTCATGTTTAATTTTTTCTTCAAAAGTTTCCTTTATCAAACGAAAAATTTTGATATTAACTGAGTTATAAGTTTGGTTGTCTCTATGTAATTTAAGATATAAAACTTACTTATTATTAATTTGAACTTTGAAATATATATTTTTAATACATTAAAGATGGGTTCCCTCATTTTTATTTATGAAAATGAAAATGCTTATACTTATATGAATAGAAAGTAGGGGTGTTCTAATGACTTGGAAAAATACCAGTTTGTCTCACATGTCCATAATTAATTCATAATTAGCTAAATTAGAAGAGAATTACCAGCAGAATTCCAATGAGTGACCGATCTAAAAAGGTCAGAAAGTCTTTTTTGTATCCTGACAGTACATACATGGACATTTATGATTGGTTAAAACTTAAATTATATGCAATATAAGAAAATAATGATATGATAAAGAATACATGCTAATACACCAATCAATCGAATAGTTTGCTTAATTTGACACTAAAAAATAAGGAAACCCATCTTTAAGCTAAGCTATATAAATATTGACCCATGTGTAATATGATTGAGATTTATTGTTTGTTATTGAACTGAGTGGGTGGATTTTATTATATATAAATATACTCAAATATCAAGTAATATTATCTATGGCAGACCATTCATATGTGACAAACATTGACAGCTTTCAAGAAATAACCTTCTCAGTGAATGACAATATCTATAGTATATCACCTAGGATCATATATTCTAATGGTGTGAAATTTAGATCATTCACTAAATGTTTTATAATCAAACTGTAGTATTAATGATCTAAAAACATATTTATAGCTACGCCTTACAGTGCTGTTATCTTCCAGCTATTTTACTATATCATTATGTTTCAAGATTTATGTAAGCAAAGAAATGATTTAATAATCCTGGTTTGAACATACAATAAAAGCAATAATATAGATGCTGGTGATGAAAGTATCAATGGTCAAAAGTAAACTAAAATGGAAGGAGGGATACAAAGTAGGATATTTTAAAGTAGGATCTGTTGGAGAAGAAAATCTGAGTGGAAAGCAATATATTTATAAAATTTAAAAATATTAGTCAATATGTTATTTGGTAGTAATGCAGGTGACAGTTCTACACTATCAATTGACAAAATTTCAAGGAATGTAACCATAGTTTTTCAGTGTAATGGCATGAGATATTGTTCAGTAGAAATGTCCTTTTATAAGTGGAGGTGAGGGGAGAGGGATTTGTTATGTTGACATTTCATCATAGCTGAAATATAAGTTGTGAATGAATGGAATACTGTGATATAGAATACTATATAGAAATAGAAGTTAATAATATGTAAGAAACAGATGTTAGTTAAATCAATATCTCATTGAAGAGTCAACCTCATAGATGTGTGGGTGGTTTAACTTACATTATCATAATACAACATAATTAAAGGCCACTGTTATTTTTCTCATTGCAGCAGACAACAATGATATCCAGGTATTAGAAACTTTGGTTGAAGATGAGCAGAAACCAATAGAGGATATTTCTGGTAATCATTTACAAGTCAGACACAGAATGCATCGTTCAGCAGTCAGACCATTTTTCTGTTGTGGAAGTGAAATATCTCTTGTTAGCCTGGTGGAAAATGCTGAAAAAGAGGAAAGTTCTACAAGTGATGGAAGAACTATTGAAGTTTTAAGTGAGGACAATAAGTCAGATAGTAAATTATTACTGAAAGGTAAAAATACTACCTCTAAGTGTGGAGAGTGTAATGATAATTGTAATGGATGTCGACGTCAAACTACAACAACACGCAGAAAGAAGGGAGACAAAATTCAGGGCAATTTAAACAAATCAAAGAAGAAATCTTGGAGTTCTAAATTAAAGGGAAGATTTCCTCATGCAGGGCGTCATTCTAATCATCATGGACATGGTGAATCATCTTCAACACCAGAAGTTTCCTGTTGTGCTTGTCCAAAAGAAACACCATGTTCATCCCAAAATCTTCTTCAAGCAGCTGGTAATCCTATTTTTTTGGATGGATGTAGAATAATGTGGAATTCCCCATTAACACTGACAGCTAATTTTGATGAACTGTATCCAACTGATGATTTGGATGAAGTACGTAGAGTGGCTAGAGCACGTGAGATGAGAGAAGGTATAGACCCTGCTGTCCAAACACACTCAAACCAGTCCCTGACAGGTGCTGCCTCAGCCAGTCTGTTAAGTCAAATGTTCATAAATCACTGTTCAGTAACCTTGCCACCTTATCCATTAAATTCAATCAGTTTGGGTCGAGGTTATGGTGTGAATAATAATAATAATAGTGATTATGAAGAATCTCATTATGGAGAAGTGGATTTCTCTGTACCTTTATTTTCAAAAGTGGTTCATACCCAAGTGGACTATATGCATTGTTTAGTGCCAGAACTATCTTGTATAACTAACTGTAGTTTTTATTGGGGTGTGATGGATCGCTATGAGGCTGAAAAACTCCTAGAAAATAAACCAGAAGGGACATTTTTATTACGTGATAGTGCTCAAGACGAGTTTTTATTTTCTGTGAGTTTTAGACGTTATAATAGGTCCTTACATGCTCGTATTGAACAATGGAATCATAAATTTAGTTTTGATTCCCATGATCCTGCCGTGTATGCCACAGAAACAGTTCGAGGTTTAATAGAACATTATAAAGATCCTAATTGTTGTATGTTTTTCGAACCAATGTTAACTCAACCATTGAATCGTTCCTTTCCCTTTTCGTTAAAACAGTTTTGTCGAGCAACAATTTGTGATCATATTGCCTATGATGATATAGCTAGTCTTCCATTGCCAAAAGCATTAAAAGAATACTTGACATATTATCATTATAAACAAAAGGTTAGAGTTAGAAGATTAGATATGCCTAATTAAAATCAATCAAACATTTGTCTCCATTCTGGTAAAAAAGTTTGTTGTAAATATATTTATCAGTTTTCATTGACAAGATATATTTCTAATTCTCAATTTGTACTTTTTTCATTCGCAGGATTTTCATTTTTTCGCCATTTTGATTTAAAACATTTTTTAAACAACTGGTATGAACAAAAATCAAACTGCAGGTGCAATACAAATGCATGTAGTTCCTCATACCAATGTTTTGTTTATTCTATATTCGAGGTTAAAGGAAATATTCATCTGGAGAAACAGATTCTTTAGGTAATCTTATCTTCATTAGTTGCAGACTTAATTTCATTTCATTTTTATTTTCTTTCCATGACCAATTAACAATCAAATCTTACCTATCTAATATATACTATACAAGTAATTTTCTACCACACTATTTATTTTTTATGTCGACTTTATTTGTTTGTTTATAGATTTATTATTTATGTTAATTCTAGTCAAATTCTAGTGCTAATTATTCATAGCTTTATATATTATGTACATTATGTCTATTTGAGAAATTGGCAATGTATTTTATTGCTGAAGGTTACCGGTTACTTACAGGCTGCCAGATTGATATTTGACAAAGTTAAACTCTATTACAAACCATTATTTCACCTGTAATAGTTTTTTCTAACTGATCACATTATATTTTTTGAGCAATCAAATATCATTTTTGTTGTGAAAAACAGAGTATCAACATGTATGTATAACATGTTCTAGTTTTTCTGTTATGTTCACGAGCTAGAGTCAGATGCAAGACTCGGTAAAGGGTATTCGTACATCGGCTTGATTAATGATTAAATTATTTCGTGAACTTGCATGAGGAGTATACAAAGGGTGCAGCGGTGTATGCCATGTCGTAGTAGTTTATCCATGTACAGTGCTTGAACAGGCCACAAATGCTGTGCTCAACAAAATTGCTGGAAGAACATTTGAGAAAATGTCAGTGGGGCTTAACAAGCAATAAGTGACATAATATGGATTTGCTAGAACCAGAAGGTCATATATCATTTAAGCTAGTATGATTGTCAGAGGTATTCTTAGACATCATCAATCAATACTTTCAATATCTTTAATTGGTTTTATTAAGGCTAATTATTGAGGGATTAGGAAAGATTAAGTCTAGCTAGATATATTTATGTATTACCAGTAGCATTTGATTATAATGAATTTAAGAAAATATGCCACTGGAATGAATCTGTGCTAACAGCATGAAATGTGATTCTGTGTGTCAATACCATACTTCACATGACAGACATTATAATTATGTGTCATTTTATTGCTGATTGAAAATGTCATCAATACCTTCCAGTGTCTCATTAAGGATATGAAATTCTTTACCCTGTTTTTCCTCTTTGCCTTTACACAATTTTCAAGCCTCAAGCTAAAATATACAGCAAAAGTTTAATTTGAAGATCAAATGATTTTTAAACTATGGTTACAGGCAATATAAAATCCAACTCTATTTAAATTCATCAGGATAGGTTTGTTGTTTCTTTAAGAGATTATAATGATTATTAGTAAACTTTTTATGGTTTTGGGGACATCGATTTGCAACATCATGGCCTAGATTTTCTATCTCTTCACCAGCCAACAACTTTCAAATAGCTATCAGAGGCTGGAATAAAGGCAGTTGTATTGGTCAGATGTTTGTGGTTCTTGTAATTAAAGAACTGCTTAAGCATTTATGGTATCACTATCCCAAATATATAATGATAATAATATATAATGGTTTGTGATAGTGATGATATAAAGTGATGTCACAGATGTCTGACTGAAAATTGGAATGGTGTAAATCGATTCTATCTGTCCCCAATACATATAAAAAGTTGAAGAAACCACTTTACAATCCCTTAAAGACTTAAAGACGATTTATACTGCAGGAATCCTACAAGTAAAATATACATTGTAAAGATTAAAATTGTAAAAAATTTTATGCTCATTAAAGTTTCTGACCTCAGTTTTTGCTTATAATTTGATTTCTAGTAAATTAAAGAGCAAGTCAACCATTCATCTATTCATGATATTGATAAAATCCTTCACATAACAGACAATTTATGTATTTATTTGAACATGTGAATAATGTTTGAATTGTGTGCAAGTTTGTTCACCATGGAACATCAACTGTGATGAATAAAAAGTAAACCACAACTGTTTATTGTTGTTTAATTTCACATTGATTGAGTTGGGATTTATGGAATCAACAAGAACAGAGTTCAGGTTCAAAATAGCAGAGAAAGGAAAATCTGCAGGAACCTGTTCAGAACCCACCTATCAAGCACCAAAATTATAATCTGTTGAGGAACCCTTTCATGGTTGATGTCATCTGATAGGATTTAATTCTGATGAGTAATAACAGTTGAGAATGACCTGATTTGAGGCATGATATTCAAATTGGGATAAGTCGAGATAGTGTTCATTACACATTCATAGATTCCAAAACACAATGTTAACAGCACTGTTTAATTGATCTAATGTACAAAGATATTCTGTATAACAATTTATAATTACCATACATAGCACTGTTATCACATAAAATACAATTGAATAAATCCTCAAGTAATAATCATCATAACACTGTCTTTTGTATTTGATTACATTTTTCAATATCTGCTTAAATAGTTCATGGTTCCCCTTTTGTAAACAAATTCATATTGACCATATCTAGCACTTTATTTATGGTTTAGGATCAAATTCATATATCACTTTTTGGGGGAAAAAATCTACTGAGATCCTGTTCAGTATAAAAAAATTTAACTTGTAGTTACTATATGAACATTCAAATTTACTGACAATAATGAAACTTTGTGTGGACTACTGGCATTATGGAGTATACATGTAGCTATAAGTACACTTCCAGATATCATTGAGATAGTAACTTTGAACAGATGTATGTACATGTAGCGCATTATTTGAAAATTAAAACTAGGGTTTTTCAACTGGCGGTGCACGCCATTTGTGGTGTGGTGCATCAGGAAAATACTTTTCGACACATTGGTATTCTTGTATGGAGAGTTGAGAAAATAAAGAATCAGGAGTTCAGAGCCTACCAACTACATCTCTTGGTCAACCTCGTATGAGCACAAGCATAGCGGCCGACCTTTTTCTGCACGTGTGAGTTTTCCCAACAGGCATGTGGCATCAAATTATTAATAAGGTCCCACGCAGAATGATCCACTTTTCATTTCTGATGTCTATCCAGTGTATGATTAGTAAAATATTTACAATATATACAAAAAAAATACAGCATATTATTGTCCTTATAAAACTTTTTTTAATTTTTAATTACCGAAGGTTTGAAGGAAAAAAGAACACCCTCTCATGACAATGCATGGATCTGTGGATACGATTGCACGTTTGCCACATTTAATCATTAATAATTCTTACCTAGAGTTATTCAAATTCCAAACCATGAAAGCGCCACTTAAGCTTATATACTTGAGAAACCCAGATTTAAACCCTCCAGAAGGACATACACAAAAAAAGTTTGAATTGTTAATTTTAAGTAAATACTGAACTCTGTATAAATATTTAACACAGTACATCTTCTATTGGGATCTTACAGGATTAAATACAATGAAAATGATCAAGTTAAAGCATTAACTACTGTACAATGAAAATATTTACAGTTTTTATTTACAACTACGAACAGAGGGTGATGTTTGTATAGCAGCATCAACTTGGTTTTTCTTCTTTCGACGAACCATACGTTTTCTTCCTCTATATCTATTACCTGAAATATGTCATTATGAAATTCATTGATCTGCGCTGTGAATGACTCCAATTGAGTTGATTATCAATCTATTTCATTTTTTTCATCAAAATTTCTAATACCAAAAAAGTTTTAGTGTGGACAAGTTTAGTTAGTTTTATTCAATGAAGCATGAAAGCAGTTCATAAACACTTAATATTCATCCGTCTACATCATAAGCAACCATCTTGTACAATCACTGTTAGTCATACTGTAGACACTTCTTCCTGTAAGCTTAACTCCCTTCTATGTTCAGTGACTTCAAAAATATATCATATTAGAAATCTAATTTCATATTTTCAAACCAACTGTTTTGAAGATAAATATTGTATTCACATGATATAAGGTAAGCTCATCATTTTGCACATTTTGTAAAGAGTAAGCAAGTGAAAAATGAAAAAATAAAATGCTTGTTATACCCTATAATAAATAACACATGTCCCAACCTGGTGATTTAGAGGAGGTGGCTCTACGAGATTTCTGAGTATTTGATCTGGTGCGTTTGATATTTTGAGGAGTATCTTCAAAGTCAGAATCATTGCTGTCTTCACTTATCACATCATCACTAACATCATCATCTGATGATTCATCATGATAGTTCACTGATTTAGCTTCACGTTTCTGTCTTTTTAAAGGAACAGGTGATTTTGCTGAACTTGCTGCACTCTTTTTTTTTGGACTTGGTTTAACAGGACTGGTCTTAGATTCGTCAACTGTCTTTTTGGATTTAGATGAACTGGAATTTTTTTTGCCATTCATTTTAGCATAAACCTGTCTTGCTACTGGAGTAGGATTACTTGAAATCTTCCATTCTTTCTCCTCATCATCTTGAACTAATTCTTCAGACTTCCTTTTTCTTGCTTTTACCTTTACAAAGACAATAAAAGATATAAATATATAATTTGTAGTTATTAACATAACATTGTATTGTAACATATACAACTTAGACAGCATCAAAAGAATAAACAAGTTCTTTTAGCAAGATTGAATTAGTAATAGAAAATATCATGATAATCAAAACTGAAAATACAATGTGATTTTGATTGCATCAGGTATATTTTGTTGATAAAAAACAATGACAAAAGGCTGTGCAAATGAACTCTGGAATTTATGTTCTATTAAAGAAAGTTAAATCTGTTGAAATCTATATCAATCAGTGATAGCGTATATTTTTCCTTTATTTCCTCTTTAAATTTCAAGATAAACCATTACCTTTGGGGAATCTTTGGTTGGTGACTTTGATGTTGATGGTTTTGCAATTTTGGCTATTTTTCTTGGCGAACTTGATCTAGCAATTCCATCTACTGGTAAATTTAATATCCATTCATCTTTTCCTCCACCATTCTTACTTAAACCTTGTCTTAAGGTTTGACGGAATTTCTCATAATTTGGTTTTTCATCATATTTTAATTTGGAGACAGCAGTAAGGAATGTTTTTATTGTGTCTACAATACAACAAAAGTTACACAAAAGTAGTTGATGAAGTATAGCTCATTTTGACATCTTAAAGTAAACCCTCCGCATCATTCACAGTTAGTTCAGCTTGATTATAGTTGCAGTTAGTTAGACCTCAAAATAGATCATTTCAGTAAAACAAATAAAAAAAAACCATAAGAACACTATTTTCTCTATGTACATTAGTAAACCTAAATAAAATCTTACCAGGTGCATTTCCAGCAGGAAAACATGTTCGTATTAAGGATGGAATATCTTTCATGTATCTAAAAAATCCAAACCATGCTTTAAAAATGACTGTGACAACACAAGCAGTAGATTAGCTCTGTTGGTATACAGTTGGGTGGTTGCTTGCTAGGCTATTAAGGGCTGTGGAATCCAATCTTCCTCAAGGTAAAAAAAAAATGTTTTATGCCAAGGCTTTTGAGAGTTTAGCCCTATCACAAGCAACTGTAGATAAAACAGTCGCTTAGCTTAAATGGAGGGTGAAGATCCACCCTAGACTTCTGCACTAAAAAAGTAACTCAAACCATTGTCTGACCGATACTTACTTGGCTTTACTATTACCAACATAGTCTTTATTATTTAAATTATCTTCCCATGGTAGTTTACCACATAACCATTGTAATAAACAATAACTTAAAATCTCAAAGTCACCTCTTCTGGATGGTGCTGAAAAAATTCAATTTTGATAAGAGACAAGGCATGAACATTATGACCTTATTATCAAAGCTGCTAACAAGATGCATACTATGTACTAGCTTCAAAATCCTCAGTCTAATTAAAATAAAACCAAACATTTGTTCTATTTTTTTTAGCTTTCATTTTTAATATAGCCACTTCTGTTAGGGTCTAACGGCAGCCCTCTTGAACGTTCATCAAATTAACCTTTTGACATTATAATGTCTGCTTTATCCATTCAAATTTCTATCCTCTCTATGGCATTTTGTGACAAGGTGTTTATCAGGTTAGGTAGAAAAAAAAATTGGACGCATGAAATATGCATTTTTCTTTTCACTACAGTTAGCATTATTCCTCAGTTTTAGCAGTAAAAAAAATATCTATTACAATTTCCATATTATAATATCATTATGAACCATTATTCTTCTTATATTATCGGAAGATTATTCTGAAGAATATGGATTTTCATTTCATATATTCATATTATTCAACTAAATGCTCAAACATTACTCTCTCACTTGAGTTTAAGCAAGCTTGCCTGTGCCTTCGTAACATTACTTTACAGCAATGTTACAACCTAAAATTCCCAACTGTAGTGACTATATCAAGGATATATGTGACAAAAATCCTGCAAAAGCAACAGCTTCAGCCACTTGGAGCTTTATCTACACTAAACAAGTGGTTGCCCAGCAAAATACACCTAGTCTCAATACATTTTCAGTATATCATCAATCTGGGTCAAATCACACCAAAAATCTAACTTGTCCAAGATATTGTTGATTTCAACCAAAACACAAAATTTCATAAAATTTGGACATAAACTTTCACCTCTAACACATTTGCAATCCAACAAATTTTGCTACTTTTTACTAAGAAAAGGCAATAACTCAAATTCTATTCATGGAAAAATAGTCAAATTCAAACCTGACCAAAATCCCATTGTAATATATGATCACAAATTTCATTTAAGTCAGATGAAAACTGTAATCTCTATAGTGTTCACAAACAAATTTTAAAGCGTATTTCCTAAGTTAAGGGCAATATTCTTTATCAAAAGATCAACAAATTGAACGGACAGGGGGCGACATTAGGTGACATTTTAATGTTGTCATATATTGTTTTTGCATGTATAAAAATCATACATGTGTACAGGTCAGGAAAAAAAATCTGGAGATTTACCTTGAAAAATCTGGAGATTGGGTGAAAAGTTTTTTAAATTCGTGATTTGAAACTCCAAATTGATTCTTTTTTAATTTTTTTTTAAAATAAGCTTTAAGCCTTGTAAATTAATTAAATTGATCATAGGTTTATATACGACACAGTTAAAATTACCAATCTATAATGAGGGATAATTCTAGATATAGTGCCTGATATTTCAAATTTAGGGGCCCAAAAAAAATTTGATATTGTCATTCTTCAGTATTGATTGAATCAAAAATGATGTCAAGGTGAAATGATGTTTGAAAACAAGAAAGCAAGCATGATCCCTGCCTTCTAAATCAAATGGTAAAAGTTGGCGGTAGGCCTATATCATACATGTAATACCATATAAAAAATTCAGAATGTTCTGAAAGCAATATTTAGTAAATAATATGTACTGGCATTGTTACTTTTTCCAAAGGTGTAATTCATGACATCTAAAATATCTCCATTCCGATCATTAAATAATTTTCCTGCAACACTCTCCATAGTATTGAATTGAATTTTCCGCTTCCATTTTGACGTTCTTCAGAATGGAAAGACTGCTAATAAGTAAGCCCGTTATGCAGGCAATAAAATGAATGTTTACAGGCTACAGTAAAATTACAAAACCATTTTATGAAACAAAGTTTGAGTTTACATAAGAATTAGACATCCAGTCGCGTATGATAATCTACCTATAATTCTGAAACGACGTCTATGTTATATAGGCCTAATACAGACCTCACAGATTGACACTGACAGTATAAAACACTATGAAGACCTGAAGGTTTCGTTTTTAGTAAAAGTAGTCCTACCGTAAAAAATATTATAAAAGCGAAAGTAGAATCTACCGGATGTTGTTATAAAAAGTGTGTCGTGTGGGCTTAAATACACATTATCGGGTGAAAATAGATCTAATTACTATCTTAATTGGAGGATTAATTAATTAGGCAATGATAATATTATTACGTGATGAGATTAACGTGTGTTACCGACAATCAAGATACAAGTAATGATAGATATTTTGTTGATTTATGGTAGTGAATTTGAGCATTGAAAATGGTAGGTCCCGTGAAAATTTGATAAGAAAAAAACCAAAAATCGGTAGAATCGGGTATCCTGCCGGTAGAGCGGTAGACAACATGCAAAAGCGAAAGAAACCGGACAACATCGGTAGATTACACATGTATGATAAAAATCTTGAGCCAGAAGTTACTTACAGACCCCATTATGAGCATCTCTACTAGTAAACTCTACAGTACCATCATGTGCTTTGCGTGGATCTTCTTTATATTCTTTATGTTTACCATCTATCACATATTTAAAGGCTAAACCAAAATCAACTAGGTATACCTATCATAACAATGCAATAAATATTATACACCTTTCTTTTCAAAGAATTATACATAGAATTTCTTTTCATAAGAGATAAATTAGGAAAGATGAACTAATTTTTAATATCAATATAACGAAACTAGAGACAAATATAGTCAGTTTTATTTTACTCAATCATGTACAGAATATTTTGACATAAATCTCCAGACTAAGAATAGTAAGAAAATTTGTTAACAGACTTAAGACAAGAGCTATGACAAACTATGCTTATTCCTATTAATAAAATATAACTCAACTGTATGTTATATCAAAATTGTGATCCTTCACCAGCTTATGAACTGACATCATCTAGATTATCATTTCTGTTTTGTCATCACACTGTTACTGAAATCCCTATTTTCATAAACATAATTGTCCATCAACTGAATTTTCTTGTGTTAAGGTACATAATTTTTATCTTACCTCATCAGGTAAAGTTTTACCATTTTTATATCCCATTAATATATTGGCAGCTTTTATATCAGCATGCACATAATCATTGTCATGTATAAACTCTAAGGCATCAATCTGGAAATAAGGAGAAACTGTAGCTTGAGGTATAGATATTAAATCAATTACCAATGTGAAGGGCAATACATTATATTAAAAAGATCATACCTTGGTCTCAGAAACAGGAATTGAACAGATTAGCCAATCAGTTATAGAATTCACAGCTTAAAAATTGAGCCTCCTTAGCCTTGTGTATCCAAACTTATCTGTGTTAAAGAAGCAACTTAATTTTTGAACAGTTAATGACATCATGTGTATACAATAGACTCAATCATCCTGTCACAGCACAGCTGCAACAAAAGATACAGTTCTGATACTTCTGAAGACTATCTAAATATATTCAAGGTCCAAATCATTCCATAGCAAAGTTTGTTCCACAAAGTGCAGATTTAAACCGAATAAAACTGTATTTACAACAATGACAATATGATATATTTGTGGAAGAAATGGTCTATATTTACCATTCTCAATCCTACAGCATATACTGATTTAGGTGGAAATGATTTACCACATGATTCAAACAATTTTTGTAAATCAGTACTAAATCTAGGCATAACTAAAAACCTATACACTTTCGATTGATATGTATGATTGCCTGCTCCACATAGTTTTGGTACTGGGAGGTATTTTAATTTCTTTTTCTTGGTCCATTCCTTGACTGAAATAAGAGAACATTTTATTGTATCTTTTCAACATATCTTTTAATTCAAAATTTTATCAATTAGGCAATAATGTAACTTGAAAAAATAGTTTTTCAAAAGAACTGTTGGAAAGAGCTTTCAAACCCATTTTTGGGGGTCAAAAGTACCTTGATCTAAAAAACATTAATTGTTCAGCTAAGCCTATCGGTTATAGTATTCACAGCCTTTTTAGCTGTGTATATCTAAATTTATACGTGTTTGAAATTAAAAAGACAATTCTATTTTTAATTTTGAAGATTTGTTAATGATGTCACATGTATACAGTAGACTCAATCACCCAGTCAGACCTTTTCTATGCAGAGCTGCAAAGAGATGTCTGGGTGTTAGATACACTTGTGAACGGAATGAATAATCAGTGAAGTTTCTTGTTTGAAGGAATTATGTGATCTTCGCACAGTTCTACTACTTCTGAAAACTATTTACACATATTCAAGGCCTAAACCAACACCCGAAAATGGCGAAGCATGGCCTTTAAGCTTGAAAATAAAATCACATGCAAACTTTTTGGAACATTCTGATCAAAGAAATGATCATAAAATATACTTACTATTTTCTGGCTTGGCAGCTCTTTGATAAAAATGTAATTCACAAAATAATGGCCCATTTTCAACAGGTTCCTAAAAAAAGCAGTTGATACTACCAATTATTTTCAAATATTGCGCTACCATCATATCTTAAATAATAGTCCTTTTTCTAGACTTTGTGTATATCTAGGACATTCATGTTATTTCAATTGTAATACCCTTTAACAAAATGTTTATGTGAATTATAATTCAGTATTTATAGTACCAGCATTACAGAAATCACAGGAGCTCATAAGCTGTAAATTGGTTAATTTAATGACATGTAACGAACCATACTTACAATTTTCACAACATAATTAGAAGTATCACTAACAGTACCAGTTACGTCATTTGATGCTATTAAAAAAAAAACACATGATAAATAAGAACCATATTTTAAGATACCTTAAGTTTCCATTTATCCTATCACTTATAGTGGATAAATTTCGGTCAGAATTTGGGACATTTTCTGGGAAGGGAAGTGTGTTTCTTAAAAAATGTATTTCTATTACTGTATAATCATTTTAAGTCTATGGTACATGTAACTTTTTGAAGCTGATAGTCAAACTCACTTTTAAAAAATTGCAAATTTCTCTTCACAAAAAAATTTGAGCAGACAGTAGTTAACTCTATTATGTATAAGGCGTAATAATTCAAGGACAATAATATCCTCACCTTTATATATCAATCCAAATCCACCTTGACCAATAACATCTCCAAGTTCCCATTCCTTTTTAAATGTATCCTTTAAAACTGTACCAGATGTAAATGTAACAGCTAACTGATGAGCTTTTGGACCACGTTTAGCACCTGTCAAAATAAAACACAAAAATAAGTGCTCTTTGAAGCCTCAATGACCAATCATACCTTAGTCTCAGAAACATGAATTTTTTTAGCTAAGCCAATAAGTAATATAGTTCACAGCTCAATGTCAAAACCTTCAAATCCATGTGTGTCCAGAATTATCTGCCTATGAAAGTTAAACAAGTCTCTTTTCTTGAGACACCATATATAGAAAGACATCTATAGAAATAGGAAAAGAAATTCCTAGTTTGAGATATTTTTGAATTTCTAGACTATTTACATATATTCAAGACCCAAATCAACCGTCAAAATGGCACAACTGACCCTTTAAGTATCATTTTGATTAATTTCTTAATATAATTTGTACCTCATGTGAAATAGGAAAATCCCTGAAAATTAACATGAATAAAAATTCTGATAGGAAATTTGAATTATTAACCTGCTTTAGGTGCAGAGTAAGCTGCCTTTGGCATCACTACTAAAAATATGCTGTACAAATTTACTGTCCTTATTCCTCTAACTTATCTTTTTCATCAACTGTAATTGAAAAAAATAAAAATTAAGAAATTACTAAATGAATTTCAGTAAATTAGAATATCAAAATAGTGAGAATGAATTGATAACAATACTATACAATAATAATAGTTCATAGTGCTCACACGAATAGTCAAATTCGAATCCGTTTTTGCAAATTGTCAATTATCAATTTTTTCACCACTTCATCCATCATCAGAAAAGTAAAATAATCCCTGCTTTTAAGGCATGAAAGATCCTGAGCAAGTTTTTACAATGTAAGTCTATGATACAGTCGGAAAAACGAATTCAGTTGTACTTGCCTTACTAAATAGCCGATTTTTCAAGCAATTTTTTACTTGAAAATATCGTCAATTATTCGAATGCAAATCAAATGATACTGTTGAATAGTCCAATGGTAAAAATCACTATGCAATGTATAGTTGACTATAATAAATATTGCATGAATCAAAGGATAGTCCAATTCATATTCTTGTTAAAATTCAATTAACACACCAAGCGAACAACTAATACATGATTTTCACAATTCGTGTGAAACTACAACTAGGCCTACTCTCTGTCTGTCTTGGATTAGAATTGGATTTTTTCTCTCATGTCAGATGTATGAATTTCTGGAGGTCAATAGAATCATAGAGATTAATGACATTTTAAATAAACACAACTCCCTCCAGAAAATTCATGTGAAAATTACCCACTTTAGTTTTTCGACTCTCATATTTTCACTTATATTAGCTCTTAGCCTTGATCTATATTACAGTGGTGTTACCTATTTTCGTGCATATAAGGATTCAACACCGAATTACATCAAAGTTAAAAAAATGAATTTTTTTTTTATGTCTTAGATGTTTCCTCGGATATTCTACAAAATAATTAAAATTGGTTTGTTTCGATTTTCTTTAAGAATCCTTCACTTGTCCCATATTTCATGAGCAACCAACTCGGCAACGGCGGCAGAATGCGTCACCTATTTTCGTGTGCAATGTTTGATCTATAAATAAGTCTTGAAAAACATGATGTATAGATACCGGGTGGTATAATTAACTTAGTATTTATCTTTAATATCAATTCATGATAACTAGTGACAATTCCTTCAAAGAACCACGATAAAAAAAATAGTGACTGACAAAATAAGATACGTATTGTGATTTATTTCTAAAAGTCACTGTAACAACATAAGAATATGGCCCACTTTGTGTTCCATAGAAATTTTCTGCTGACACGGAATCCGCTAGTTGATCACGTGACTTCATTCGTGGACTACATTCTAGCAGAAGACACTTGGAATTCCGATTACCGCTTGGGATTATAAGGAAATTCGGCCGATACAAAATGGTGACGTTTGGTAATAACTGAAATCCGCCATTTTGTATTTTTCAAAGTATACATTAATTCATTTGACTTTGCTTGAAACTACTGTATTCATTCTACTAGCTGACATTGTCGAGATAACCCATGTTTATCAATACAAGAAAATGCGGAGGTCACGCGAGGTCGCACATGTAAATTATTAATCATTTCCGGAAATGCACGAAAAATAGGTTAGCACGAAATTAGGTTCATTGACTGTACTACATTCGGTGTTGAATCCTTATATCCACGAAAATAGGTTACACCACTGTATAGTATTAGCATTTCAAAGACACTTTTTGACGAAGTATGCGATTTATTATTCAAAAATGAAAGTGTTAGGAAAGTAGTCTACATCTAGGATACGTTGACAAGGCATGAATCTGAAAACCTGAAAACCATGCAAGTGTATTATATCTAACATCGTCAATCAGCTACCTAATGACATAAGCGTTAATTTGATAAGAATTTCTTCAGGCAATCAACTTTGTTTTTAAAGATTCCGCCAGTGCTATTACTTCCGGTTGCCTAATCAAAATATCAAAAACTTCGGACTCGAAATGGATTGAGAGCTATTTTATGTGTGGAGCTTTTACATGTGTTTTACTTTAATATAATTCAATGGCATTATAGAACTGTATGCTGCATACAATCATTTTGAAAAATTCTTAATATACAGATTTAAACAAAATAATTAGCCAATCATACCGCAAGAATTTAAAACAATCATTAAGCCGTTGATTTCTGAACTCATCCGTAAATATTTTATTCTAGCGGGATCTGGAGTTATCTCCCCTGACAAATTTGGCGAAGTTGAGAAATAGAAACATGCAATTCAATTATTCAGATCTCGTAAATAAACCAGTTGAAATGTCTTAGTGAATAACATGTTAGTTTCTTGTCCACTTTACGATAATTCAGTATTAAATAAATTGATATAATTTCACTGCTGCTGCCGAGGCCTGTGGCTATGGACCGTGGTCTGTGGCTATGGACCGTGTATTACACTTCCAGACTGAGAGGGAGACAGTGGAATGAGTCGTGCTCGCGACTCGGTTTATAAGTATAAATTTAAGATGAATTGTGGTATTGATGTCATTGAAATGAGAAGGTTATTCATTCTAATGTACCTGCATCTTCACAATTGTCTAGGCTATTCTAATATCTTGATATTCTTGAATCACAGAAGATTGTGATGGCAGCAATTTGATTGGATTGTACTCCTAGAGAATACAGCCAATCACAACCCCTGATTACACTTGTAATCCAATTGTTTACAGTCCTTTGGTCGAGGCAATATTCACTATTAAAAAAATTCTAAAAATCGGTACTGGTACTTTTGCAAACTTCTGTCTGTGGCAGTGATACAAGAAAGATATTAGACACAGTTTGTAAAGATTGCACTTGGTTGGATTTGGCACAGGTTCTAGAATTGTAGTATCCGGTGACTTTTTCTTTCTTTTAAGCATATCACTCACGTCTTTATTTCAACAGGTCTGATATTCTGGAACTGTTATGTAGTAGTATTGGTATTTTAAATTTTTTAACAAAATTTTTCAGAATCTTAAGATAGATTTATCAGAAATCAACAAAATGTATCAACGTGGCAATCTTTCCCAGAACATGAACCCTGCTCAAAGATTAGAGATTTTGAAGAAAGAAATGGAACATCTGGCAGTGGAGAAAGAAATTCTTCAGGCTCAAACACGTAATCTTGAAATGGAGAAAGAAGTTTGTAAATTACGTCAAGGCATATTGGCCCTACAATCTAATACTGGTGTTTCTACAAGTGAAACAACAGCGTCTAAAGCATCAACTAGTGATGAGATAGTTGTCACACCAAGACGAATTGTCAAAAAATCTGCCAACAAATCACCAATTCAACCAGCTTTTAGCCCAGTAAGTGTTTCAGTTTGTTTAAGCCAAATCAGATTTATATTTTTTACTACCGGACATTGTTTGAATCAACACTGACAAGTTTGAAAACTGGTACCATATGTATAAACTTAAAACATAACTCAAATCAGGCTTACTCTCTGGGCTGCTGTAAGCTTATTTGAAATTTTAATTAAATTGTCTGTTATTTTTCTGTAGCCAAGATTTATAAGAAGGTATGAAGAACCAGAAGAAGAGAGACCTCCTATATTAACACCTGCCGCTCGCATGGTTCAAGCTAGTTTAGATTTAAATAAAAGTCAAACGAAACCCTTAAAAGCATCAACTTTTATGGAAAGAAAACAAGCAAAAAGAGAAGCAGAGGAATCAGTCCAGCCTGTGTCTACTCCACCTTTTAGATTGAATGATAGCAGTCCTGAATGTAGTCATCCTGTTAAAAGACAAAGAAGGTCTAATTTAGAAAGATTTAATGATGACGACGAGTTTGATTCTATAGACTCTCATGCCAATAAACTGTCTGATCAGAGACAATCTAGTCCTAGTAAACCAGCCAAGATGGATAACAAAAGGGAAAGTGTTAAATCAGAAGTATTGACCCCTACTGCAAGAATGATCAAAGTCGAGATGGAAAAGAAACAAGCTGAAAAGGAAGCTACTGAAAAGGCCAAACAAGATGCATTAAAAGCCAAGAAAATGGCTAAAGAGGTTGAGAAGAAGATTGCTGATCCAGATGTCAGTTTTTCCTTACAACGGCCACATCTTAAGAAAAAGATTGACAAAGCAATAGCCAGCACTACCATTGTTGAGCAATCAATCCACAAGAAACAAACTGAAGATGAAGTAATCTTGACCCCAGCAGCCAAAAAAGTCCAAGCTGATTTGGATTCAAAGAAAACAGTGATACACAGAACTGAAAATATTGTAGTGACGGAAACCAGAAAACAAGTTGTTGTCAGTCCAAAGATCATCTCAGAAAATAAATCTGATAATAGCTCCAGTGATTCAGAATCTAAATTAACCCCTACTGCACGTGCTGTCAAAGAGTTAATGGAATCAAAATTACAGGCACAGAAGAAGCCATCACCAAAACCAGTTTCACCAACTATTAGAAAACCAGTCTCACCAGTTTCTCTCACAGTATCTAAACCAGTGACTCCAGTATTACCAGACACACCAAAATCTAGAGGTGTTCATTTTGCAAAAGTAGAAAAAGTGCATCTGAATAAACCATATGTACCAGATAAGGTGATGACTCCAGAGAAAGTGAAGGGTATCATTAAACCTCCAAGGTTAGCCAGAAGACCTCTTCACCCAGAACAAGTACAACTTAAACCAAGAAAATCTACTAGGGGAAATGTCTGTTTTAGTCAGACAACAGTAGAAGATGCCGAGGATTCTATTGAAGAAGAAGAAAAAGATCAATCAGTACCTAATTCACAAACTAGTTCAACTAATGGAAATATGCGAGCTCAAACCAGTTCCAGTGGTATTAAATCTCGTGGTAGAAAACGTCAGATAGAAACTGATAGTAGTAATGATGATTTTAGTGAAATAGAAGAATCAGCTGTGACACCACAACCTACCAAAAGACGTAGAACATATGTCACTACACCACATCCTGTTAAAGGCAGAAGGCGATCTGTAAGTATTTTTATATATCAAATTTGATGTATCACAGACCACTTTAAAATTTGTAATTTTAGTAAATATGATATATTAAATTTTCAAAGATTAAAATACATGGAAATATCACCATATCATTATATTATGATAGTTATCACATTAAAGTTACATTGTCAAATTTAAAAAAAAAACAGTAAAAAACAGTATTGTGATAAATAACCATATCGCAAAAATGCTTAATTTTATGATATCCACCAATATAGCATAGAACTACGTGATAGCATTAAGAACTAGTTCCAATATGAAATTAAAAATATCTTGTATATTTGTAGAAAGTTGCAGCTGTTAGTGTGAATGATGAAGATGATTATGCTGATGTGAGTGATACAAGTGATGCTGTTTCTGACCAACCATCACCAAAACGTGATACAAAACCTGAACCAAAGGTATTGTCATATAGATTAACTAAAAAAAAATACAAAGCCAGATTTAAGAGCAAAGTAAAAAAAATTAGAATAATACGTGGTACAAATGTCCTCAAAAACTCTGTTTGATCATTTGTGATACAGTAATAGCTTGGATAACAAAAATATAAATCATGTTTTATAGAGAGGAAGAAAAAAGAAAGCTGCAGTGATTGAAGCAATTGAGGATGAAGTTCCAGTAGAAAAAGACAATTCACAGGATAAAGAAGAAGATCAAATGGAGAAAGAGGAAATTCAAGTTGAAAAAGAACCAGTGCCTAAGAAAACAACTAAAAGTAAAACTACACAACTAAAACAAGTAAGTTCTGTAATGCACAGTTTTCTTAAAACTATCAAAATGGAACTTAATTTGGCTTTAAAGGGACAGATGTGCCATTTTTTTGACCAATCATACTCAGAAAAGAGAATTTTTTTCATAGCTTACTGTTGAAATTTGAGCCTTCAAAAATTACTTGTTTGAAATATTTTTAAAGGAATTATACGATTTCTAGTACTTTCTACTATTTACATATGTTCAACACCCCAAACTGGCACATCTGCCCCTTTAAATATTTAAACAATTACCATTTTCTCTACATATTTCTTGAACTACTTGATAATTTTTTCTCTGTAGACTAAGAAAGGAAAGGGAGGCAGTAAAAATGGTGAATCCAATGAGGAGAGTGAGAAGAATGAAGAAATTGTGATGTCAACCCCTACTAAAAAACGCCGTTCTGCAATAGTATCTAAAAAGGTTTGTTTCTTATAATGTTTAATAGATTAATGGGGAAACAAGGGATTGATAACTCTGATTTCTTACCGCATATGGATAGAAGGCATATACAAGACTTCCTACAGTCATCAGTGTGAATTGAAAACTTTGAAATCTTTATATCGTAGTCTCAAAGCAGAGTCAAAAAGTGTTGTAGTTCAATACAATTATAATGGTAAACATACATAGATAAGTTTATTGTATCAAATATGCCCATTAATGGTATCAAACAAGTTACACGAAAGGTAGATAGTTCTTATAAATGATAATACATGGTAATAATTCACAGGGAAAGGGGTATATTTATGATAAAAAATACATAATAAAAAAGAACATGATGAAAACATGTTCCAAAGACTAAGACACTAAAACAGATGCCAACTGTACCAAAATTATCTATCAATTAAACTTTATGGATTTACTTAATCTATTCTTGTCAAGATAAAATTGTTTTTTGGTCATATTTTTAAATAGTTAATATTGTTATCCCCCATGGTGCGTCTGTCAGGCAGTTTTTCAGTCAACCCTATGCCCACAATTGTTCTGAGTAGTTTTCTGTGGTAAATATTTGACTGACTAACTTGATGCCATTTTACGACCATGATATGAAACAAACTGGAAGTTGTAATAAACAACCTGTGTTTGCTGAAATAAAAATGTAATATGGCTGATTTTGCTTACCATGCTAACTTAAAGCTGAAAGTGAGGGTAATAAAATTTGAAACTAAAAAACAGGACCACTGCCTTCATTGACGGAAATGAAAAGCCAAGAATAATATTTCGATGTTTAAAAGTTGATTAATATGATATGGAAGGAGGGAATCCTTGTTATTTTCGGGCAGGTAGGTACTGTCCTTTTTAAAATCAGTGCATTTGCATTAATCAGTTTTATGATTGAAAGTGATAAAATATTAACCTTTGACATTATTGATTGTGATGATTTATAAATAGATTTTAACTAGAATTGATTATACATCAGTTAGTTATCATTATTTCTAGATCACTGTATCAGAGACTGAAAATAAGAGCGAAGATGTAAAATCAACACCAACCAAAAGGAGACGCTCATCTCTAACAACTTCTTCAGTATGTGTTATTTTATTGTCTATATCAACATATCCAGGCTTAAAAATGTAAACATTTAATAACAATCATATTTCGGAAATGTTTCGGTAACCTGGTCATGTTAGAGCTTTCAGTTACTGGAAAAAACTTCCTTCACCACCCCCATTTATTGTATCATTCTTGTGACTTCAGCACTTCTAATTTTACATTTTGATTTAACTTTCTAAAACAGCCTAAAGTTTTATTTAGTTTTAATTAATTTTAGTGATTGATCATCTTTATTAAGCATGAAGCCTACTTTAGTGCTCATTTTCTAAATTATGGTTGTTTATGGTGTGGTCTGAAGCTTTGTGTTTTGACTAAATCAAAAGGAATCCCATTCCTTGTTAAATCAAGAAATTCATCTGTCTATTACTTTCTCCAGACATCTCCTTTAAAATTGTACTATGTCAGAAATAAGCATGGCCAATACTTGAAAGCTGTTGATAACTTTTATATAATATGATGACCACCATGAAGATTTAGTTTGTCAAAACGAAAGTAGAAGTAGACCAATGACGGATGTAAATTGCTTAAAAAATGAATATGTTGACACTTTCTTTTTTATTCTTGATATTATTCATCCCAATCTCTTAGTATTCCCCAAAATCTGAAACAATAATTTCAGACATGAAAATCAAAACCTTCATCCAAAATATGCATACCAGAACGATTAAAAAAGAGGGGAAGAGAGAAAAGGGGGCTTCTAGTGCAGTTTTTTTGTTGACAAAAATCCTAAATGTTACCAAAGGGGGGTAATTGCTCTTTAGCTTTGGAGGTTCATTCGGTCTTTTATTCTTGGAAAAATACGATCTGTCATGGAATTTATTGTTGTATTTCTCTTTCCATAGGTAAATAATCAATTTAGTTCATATGAAATATAGATCCAAATGTTAATTAGTCATTAATGATTATGTTCAAAATAGGTACAAGTGTTGACAGTGATTATTATTTGAGAGTTAAGTCAATTTGGCGAGTTGGTATAATTGGGACTTTTTGTGTGAGGTATAAATATGTACTCTCTGACTATACTGTTTTCTGAATTGAAATATGGGAATCATTTCCGTATGAATTGAAATATCAATTACCAAATTATACTGAGTCTTAGATTGACTTTGGTTGATGCAAATGTCAACCACTGGAAAAGTTATATTTTGATATTTATGAAATGAGAGAAAAAAAAGTCAATTTAAAGCTCAATGTTGTCAGACATTAGGTTATTTCCCTCAATTGCATAAATGCAAATTATCATTTTTTCTTATGGATATTAGTCCAAGTATGATTGTCAGGTTTAGGTTTGCTTGGAAGTAAATTTTGCATAAAAAGTATTGTTTAAACAATTGGTTGAAAATCCATGAGCACTTTGAATAGTAACTAGGTATTTGAATTACCTATTTTCAAAGTAATAGGCATACCAACCAAGTTTGTTAAATATTAGATGACTATCATGTATTTTTTTTAATATTTTAATATATATTATTGTATTGTAGAAAATTACTAGTAGAGTAAGTGAAGATAATGATGAAAGTGAAGATTCTACTATAGGAACACCATCTAAACGTCGACGTTCTATTTTACCTGTAATTGTGGTCTTTATACTGTTTTTTCCTACATTTTATGTGTCTTAAACATCTTTAACTGCTTAAATCCCAATATTGCAGCAAATACATGGCTGTTAACGAGAAAAACATTAACATGACTTACAATAAGTGTATGTAAATGATCAAGAAATTTGATTCCATATGGCATTGACATCTGCTATTTGTTGTCATTTGCAATTTCAAGATGATATAAAGAAATGACAACAGTGATCTGTATTTTAGAATTTTAACAAGGGTCTAAAAACTAAGATGTGGTCATTACTCCTGGACATCAAACTTTCATTCTGAAAGCTGAAATTTTAAGTGTTATAATTTCTTACAGAAATCAAGTAAAGCTTCGAGTAGTAAGATGGCAGATATACCAGAAGATAAGTCTGTATTAACACCAGTTCAACGTGAAATTATGGCCAAAATGAATCCTAAAGCATCTAAAGGCAAGAAAACGGAAGATTCAGAAGATAGTTCCCCAGAGAAAACAGCTACTACAGTGGTAGGTTCTGTCACACAGTTGGTTAAAACATTGCCTCTGTTCATGACGTCATTTTCTTGGTTCGTGGAACAAATAGCTGTTTCCTACTTTTGGTCGACTATGAAAGTATGAATTCCAGGTGATCCAACTAAAAACAGGTTGGGAAAAATCCAGAAAGATTTTTATAGATTACCTATTTACTTCTATCATTTTGGGACCTAGTTAGTTAAATTCTGTTCATGGCTATGATTTCTTTTGCTACTTATTACAGAAGAAGGCTGGTGGTAGTAAAGGAAAAGAAGAGAAGAAGGTAGAAGATAAACCTAATTTAACACCAACCGCACGATTAGTTCTAGCCAAGATGCAACAGAAGGAAAATAGTAAAAAAACAAAAGGAATTGCTTCTAGTGATGTCAATACTGATAGTGATGCATCAGATGCATCGAAGAAAAAGTCAAAACGAAAATAAAATGTTTTGGAAACTGAAAACTGAAAAAAAATTGTTTTTATATAATCATGGTGTAAGAATTTCAAAACATTGTATTGAATACTATTTACGTTTATCACCCATTTGCAATAACTACTGTTTTATTTATGCAGAAAAAATATGTGCAAAAAGTTGTAATCTTCTCTTTTTTTATTTGCCCCTTGACCTCTAGTAGAGACAATAGATAGTTTCTAGCATCCTGATGAACAAACCAGCACAATATGCAAATTAGTTTACCAATTAGCTATAGTTATTCTTGCCATTTGTATGATTTACCAGATTCGAATACATTACGTCATGTTGAAATGGGAAATGAAAGCATCAATTTGTGCCATTCCGATTTTCAATCGGACGCCTGTGGTTCTAGCATTTCTACTATAACTAAGTGTTTTATGACGTCATCCCCGCAAAGGACATATGTGATTTGCGGGGGTAATGTCATAAAACACTTTAGTGGAATTGCAGGAATTACAGGCGCTGATTGAAAATTGGAATGGAGCAAATTTAAACCATCAGTGTCCCCGAATCGCATCAAAAATTTAGAAAACCTTTTTACAATCCCTTTAAGGTACATGCTCAGTTTGCTACTGTATTCAGCACATTTATTTAAGCACTTAAAAAAATACAAACTATATAACACAATATTAGATACACTTTGACTTATTTTCAATTCAGCAATGAAACCATTTCACGTTATAACAACCAATTTGATGCATTTTTGATTTTGAATCTTAGGAACTCATTAATAACTTAACAAAATATTAATGACAATTAATTTCCTCAATAAGCAAGAATTACCCAGTCTCTTATTCATATCGGGTTAAAACATAATCTTCATTTCTTTATGCAATGACAAATTAGAGTACAATAAATCATGAACATAGAACTATGTTTCTTAAAACCTGAAATGATTTCATAATCTGTCAATCAATATTTCTATGCCTCCCATAGTTTCTCTGTATGTTTAATAACTGTGGATGGATCTGACTTGTATCTCATAAAGAATCCCTGTACTTGTGCTATACTAACATTTTTTCCATGACTCATCACTTGTTTGGAGAATATTTCAGCATCGGATTCTACTTGATTAGGATAAAATCTACGAAACATTTCTTGTAATTGATATTCTGTTGCATAATCTATCAATTCTTTTACATCAACACGTCCTGGTCTTATTAAGGCTGCATCTAATCTGAAATTTACCAGAATTCAAATTTATATTACACACAATTCTACAATTGCATGAAAAAAATGAAATAAAGACTGCAGTTTTGATTTGTTGGAATTGTGTATATAGATGAGTAAGATGTCTTAAATTTTCTATGAATGCTTTGTGAATGTTTGCACTTGACGCGAAGGCGATCAAGTTTGTATCAGAGTTCAACTAAGTTTCTGTATAAAGATGACATCTCATATTTTGATGAAAACATGGTAAGTTTATGTACTTGAGGAGATCTCAAGTTCATAGCCACTGTTCTTGTAGCACTGAATTTTGTTAATGCAGAGATTTGATTGGAAAGTACGCCAGTGAATACAGCCAATCAAAGCCTTCAACAGAACATTGTTAAATAATAGGCTTTCTGTCAAGGGCTCTGATTGGTTGTATTTGACATTGGATGTTGTGAAGTTGGCCATGATCATGCAAGTTTCCAAACAAGTAGGCCCCTATTACTTGTTATGCAATATAGTCTCAATGACAGCTTACCTTTCTAAATAATTAGTAGTCATAAAAACTATTCTTGCTTCAGCTGAGGCCACACCATCAAGAGCATTTAATAAACCACTAAATGTTAATCTTCCCATACCTTGATATGCTGTGGGATCTACAAACATTAAATTATTTTCATTTATAACAAATATCTGGGTATTGATTGTATAATTATAAATTTAATGCTTTCAGAAGAATCGTTCACTTACTTCAGGTAAGAATGTCCGTAAGAGTATCTCAGCTTAACACAAAGCTGCCCTTAAACCATAGCGATTACCAGTTGCATATGGACCACAATGAAAGTAGTCATGAATACTGCACAACTAAGTTGCATGAATATTGCATTCAAAACTTACGACCGCTTCTTATTCACAATCGTATTCAATTGGTGATTGCTATAGCGCGTGGGGCCCTTAAAAAACAAAATAATTATGTGACATAAATCATACATATGATTAATACAGTCAAATAAACAGCCCCATTATTTGCTATGAACAAAACTTCTTCTGATCCTGTAGTAAAAATATTGCAAAAGTTACTTACTTTCTTGAGCTAGATCTCGACTGACAAAGGCAGCATCAATATCTTCTAATAAAATAATACTTTGTTCTGGTGCTACAGTTAATAAATAGTTTAATCTATCATCTGAGAGTCCTCTTTCACTTAAATTTAATACACATATACTGTAATCTAAAGCCCCTGAAAATAAATATTAACATGCAGGTTAACCCTTAATCTGAAATAAGGAAATTTGTGGGATATTGAAGCCTAAACCAAAGCCAGCCTCTTTGGGTTTCGATATCCCACAATTCCCTATTTTATTTAGAAACATGTTTTACATGACACACTTTGATTGGTTAAAAATCACATAATTGGTTTGGGTGTTGGTCGAAAACTATTTAGATTACAATGTAAACTAGATCAAAAACAAAAAAGAAACAAAAATTATATCTAATTTTAATTAGATTGCTTATATTTGGAGTATTGTACATACCAGCTAAAGCCATAATGTAACTACTTTTACCACATCCTGGAGGACCATGTAATAAATATCCTCTTCTATATGGTATACCTCTCTCCATATACCATTTAGGATTGTTTATAAACTCTTTCACATCTTTTAATAAATTCTCTGATTTATTTTTGTCTAAAATCACAGATCTAATAGGTCTTTTCTGCCTTGGATAGCCAAACTGTCTCCATTCTGGACCTATAGCTGTGTACATTACTGTTTTACCCTCTTCTTTCTGAAGAGCTATAACTCGAGCATGATCTAAGATTTCAAAAAATAAATCCCTATTTTTACCAAAGGATGTTAATGTCACAGTTTCAAAGGGTGCACCTGTATTTATGTCAATCATTTTATTTTCACGATTTCTTTCCACTTTAATCCAAGTGTTTCTGTAACGAAAGAAATGGTTGCCAGGACTTGGAATAAAGTCAAACTTTGTGTTTATTTTGCCTGTACTTGATTGTCTAAATGTAGTCTCCACACTAAGATGTTGGGTCCTTGTTCCATGAGTAGAAATCCAGTTAAGTAACCAATGGTAACTTTTATCTTTACTAGGTACTTCTAATGTTATCATACAGTGTCTATGAAATAGCATCATTCCTACTTGACTTCCTTTCTTTAAAGCTGCTACTGCAAATCCTATGCCAAATAATCCAAATCCAGCACCAAAATATGGATTATCACCAAGGTTACTAATTACATCTGTTAGTGGCATCTTTTTCAATCCAATCAAATCAGCTGAAAAGAATGTGTTGTTTTATTTGCGTAGCACAATATCAACACAGAAAGAATCTCAAGACTTAAATGGTATGATAATCCTGGCGCTTTCCCTGTTCAAGGATTTGGAAAAATCATATAAATATGACCCACTCTTTAGCCAGAAATATCATATTTACAAATAATTACATTTCCAGTGATAGGCATTTTTATACACCCACATGAAATGGGGGGCGTATATTGTCGTCACCCATGTCCGTCGGTCCGTCCATCCACAATTGCTCGTAAACACTCTACAGGGCACAATTCTTGACGGATTTTAACGAAACTTAGTATGTGTGTTCGCAATCACCCAAGGTTAAACCCTATTGAAAAGCAGCGAAATCGAAAAATATTTAGCATGAATTATTGCCCTTGTTCTTGCAAACGCGTTAAATTTTTAGCTCGTAAACACTCTAGAAGGCACAATTCTTGACAGATTTTGACGAAACTTGGTATGAGTGTTCGTTATCACCCAAGGATAGACCCTATTGAAAATCAGCGAAATCGAAAAATATTAAGTATGAATTATTGCCCTTGTTCTTGAAAACGTGTTCAATTTCTAGCTCGTAAACACTCTAGAAGGCATAATTCTTGAAGGATTTTAAACGAAACTTGGTATGAGTGTTCGTAATCACCCAAGGATAAACCCTATTGAAAATCAGCGAAATCGAAAAATATTTAGTATGAATTATTGCCCTTGTTCTTGCAAACGCGTTCAATTTTTAGCTCGTAAACACTCTAGAAGGCACAATTCTTGACAGATTTTGACGAAACTTGGTAGGAGTGTTCGTTATCACCCAAGGATAGACCCTATTGAAAATCAGCGAAATCGAAAAATATTAAGTATGAATTATTGCCCTTGTTCTTGAAAACGCGTTCAATTTTTAGCTCGTAAACACTCTAGAAGGCATAATTCTTGAAGGATTTTAAACGAAACTTGGTATGAGTGTTCGTAATCACCCAAGGATAAACCCTATTGAAAATCAGCGAAATCGAAAAATATTTAGTATGAATTATTGCCCTTGTTCTTGCAAACACGTTCAATTTTTAGCTCGTAAACACTCTAGAAGGCACAATTCTTGACAGATTTTGACGAAACTTGGTATGAGTGTTCGTTATCACCCAAGGATAGACCCTATTGAAAATCAGCGAAATCGAAAAATATTAAGTATGAATTATTGCCCTTGTTCTTGAAAACGCGTTCAATTTTTAGCTCGTAAACACTCTAGAAGGCATAATTCTTGAAGGATTTTAAACGAAACTTGGTATGAGTGTTCGTAATCACCCAAGGATAAACCCTATTGAAAATCAGCGAAATCGAAAAATATTTAGTATGAATTATTGCCATTGTTCTTGCAAACACGTTCCATTTTTAGCTCGTAAACACTCTAGAAGGCACAATTCTTGACAGATTTTGACGAAACTTGGTATGAGTGTTCGTTATCACCCAAGGATAGACCCTATTGAAAATCAGCGAAATCGAAAAATATTAAGTATGAATTATTGCCCTTGTTCTTGAAAACACGTTCAATTTTTAGCTCGTAATCACTCTACAGGGCACAATTCTTGATGAATTTTAACGAAACTTCGTATGAGTGTTTGTAATCACATTTTTTCTTATTCCTGTGGCACATTGAGCAGTAATTACTTATAGAATTATTGCTAATGGATAAACTGTCATAATAGTAAAATTCAATTCTTTTCTTGTCCTTATTAGCCAAGACAGCTGCAATCAAGTATACTTACAAATCCATTGCATTTCATGCAAACTAATCAAATCTTCGAGAAAAAAAATGTAAGGATATAAAAAGATTAAATTCAACAGGAGAAAAAAGGTGGTAAATATTAGCAACTCCCACCTGTCATAAACTCGATACATAAAACTTTAAAAAAAATATTTCAACCTAATTTGCTTGAATATAATCTGCACATACACAATTCATGACAGACTTATTGAAATCACCCAAGGATAAATCTGATCAAAAATCTTGTAAAACACGTAATTTTTATTCTACAAAGCAGAAGTCTAAAAAAAATTTGACAACTTGATGAAATTGATCACAATCAAAACTAAACCTTTTGAAATATAAAATACAAGTTATTGCCGTTATTCTTACTAATGTGTTTGATTTTTAACTTGTGATGGCCCAGTTTGTGATGGATTTGGGTATAAGTTGAATATTTCCTGGTGTCTATGTTTGCTATTTTCTAACAAATATTCAATTTCAAACAAAGCTATCAGTGGGCGTATATTACCTTGCCTGGTAAAATTCAAGATAGAGAGTAGATGGAAGATTTTTTTTAGCCCATTCATAGAGATGCTGCTTGACCAGTTGGACATTTGACAATATGATGATGGTAAGGCATAATGATTAGTCCAACAATTGACCCTTTATATATGACAGGGTCAAACGCAATGAGATATCAAATTGATTAGAAAGTTTGACCTCAACCATGACACCTAACAGCTAATCAAATCGCTGATGACCTTCAGGAAGATAGCAGAGAAAAATTTAAAAATGTCCACTGCCCTGCGATTCATCTGAAGTTTGCAATACATAAACACAACTAAGTGTTGACATTGATAGACTTGAGTGTAATAAAGTTGTGCGGTTGTTCTATACCGTGCATGATACATTTTACAGTAGGTTTACAATTTGACCATAAATGTTGTCTACAAAGTGTAGACTGAGTAGCTACAAACATGTCGTTAGAGCCTCAGTAGTCGTTAGAGTTAGTATTTAACCTACAGTCTACGAATTTGACTACATAACATAACAATTTGACATTGACATTGAAAACTGGAAGAGTTCAGTTTAAAAATAAAGTTGAATAATGTCTTACTGTTTATATCTAACAAATACCTCTGGCCGTTTTCCTATGTGTGACAGTTTTCACCTTTTACTCGTGTGGTTAACAATATATTCAACCATTTAGAAGTGATAATTATAATATAAAACCTTCAGAAACTTTCGATTTCTGCATGCTGTGTGGGAGCTGACATTTTGGAAAATGGGAAATAACTCTTTGTTTATGAAGTGGCTTCAAGCCACAAGTAAACAAAAAAGGCGCCCTGATTCATACCATTGAGCCAGAGTTATTATTGAAATGTTTGCTAAGAACAGTAAAAAAAATTAGACTATAGCCTACAGGTTACCACATTCTCATTTGTCATTGACAATTTTAAAAACATAGTTTAACATAGGCCTACGAGATCTTAGAGACTATTTCAATGAAAGTTTTGCAATATCGAATAGGCAGGCAATGTATTAGGCAGTCGCAGACTAATAATATTCAGAATTGGGTGTACCATTCTGATATCTTTTAGAAATAAGATGAAATATACAGTTCTGTTCTAGATTTGATATTTATATGTTTTTGCGTGCAGCACTATGGTCTTATCTAAATATTTCTGCTCAATATTTACAATAAAGACTCAAGAGTAGTTTAATTACTGGAAAATATGAGATCTTGTTAAGATTTAAGTGACATCTAGTGGGTGGATTGAAGTTTTATTGCCGTCATCTAGTACATTCCATGTTGAAATTAGATAAACAGTTATAATTTAGCCAGTAAAAGGTAAACTATACTGTTGATAATAGGAAATCTCCTCATAAATTCCAGATGGGCGAAATTGGATTAATGACAGTTCCTCTTGAACAAATGGTTGTATATCTATCCATCCATTTTTTCCATGCTGATAATCACGGGTATACGGGGGTGGTTATACTTAATTCATGCTGTTTATAACGACGAAAGCATCAAAGAACGTATGGTTATTCTCATATTCAGATAGTCGGATCCAACCCACTCACCAATGACAGAGAGGTTGCGGGGCCTACAATATACCATGGAATGGGAAAACAATTTATTGCTCAATATCACATCGCTTAGGCAAACTCCACGTTAAAATTTGTGTCTCCTGCTTGCCCCTCGGCTTATGTTACCGAGAAACACCACTGGGCACCAACCCCATTTTTGATCAAATGACAAAAGGTAGCCACGATTTAGCCAGTTGGATTTTCGTGGGTAAGATGCCTATAAGTGTTTGAATTCTCCTATAATGAAAGGGTGTTATGCTAAAGCGATTGCTTTCGCAATTTCACTTTATACACGTTAACCTAATAATCTAATCTTATATAGTTTATACAAAACAGTTAGCTATCATATTTTCAAGAACTAATTGCTTCTAATAAAGGTGCGTCTTATCACAACTTTTCTTAAAATATGCTTGAATAACCATGTAAGAAAATGTCTGTTTTGTTTCTTACTACCGCTTCATTGCACCAGACTTAAACCAGATACGATATTAAAGTTATTTTAGGTGAAGAGAGCTAAATTTATCTTCGTAGGATGAAAATATAAACATTGATGTTACTAAATATATTGACAGCTCGCTCTTCTTACGTTTGATTAATTTACGTCTAGGCCTACAATGTTTCTAATCAAATTTAAAGGTGCCAATTTTATTTAATGTGGCACCAATAGTCAGATATATGTATATCCGTGATTTAGTGGAAACGCGTCAAAAAGTAAATTAACATTATAATTTCCATGCCGTTTTAATATTGGTTGAGATATGAAGGCTCTTATTTGAAGTTGATGGCTTAGACCAATTCACTAGCGTTTAATACAACTTGTTATGCCTAATATTATGCTTTTCTGAGATCAGCATCAATTTTTATAATTATTTGACGAAACGTTTCAAACAGTTAGGCCTACTGCACTTAGTATCGAAGCATCTTTAACTTTTCAACTGAAAACAAAACTGAACAATGCAAATTTCTTTGTACTACATAGATTGGTCAGAGAATGGACATAAAAATTCATCTTATTTCAGAGTACTACAGATATTTTAGTGATTTCCTTTTTTAAAAAATAAACCAAGTACAATAAGTAATGGAAGCAGAATTTCAAAATGATCTAAACTACATTACATAAACTGGTAGCATGTGTTTTTCTAAAAAAAAACAGCTGCAGTTCACATTACTTACTTCGCCGTTTTTTTTTTTAAATCTACAGATGGCTCTCTGGACCAAATTTTTGACATTCTTCACAGATAAGATCAATTTAAAAGACGATTACTTAAAGGATGTGGTAGTATAACACGCCAGGTTAAGATTCCTTTACCATCAATAAGGTTGGGCCATAATACTGTTTCTGAAAATTGAAATGATGATGCAACCGCGTTGTCGAACATCAAAATAGGCCCCATGTACAACATATGAATGCGGCTTCCAAATGATGCATGCGATCCAAATGATTGATGCTTGAAGCCAAACTTGTAATACTATGACACCACCCAAAGTGTGGCGGATAAAGTGCTGTATCTAACAATAATCATTTATGTATGCTCGCTCTAAACCACAAGTCTTCTGCACTTATAAACTATTAAACTTGTGTTAGATGGTGATGAGAACATAGTCTCATGAAAGCACTAGCCTAGGTCACAAAGTAAAGATTTATGATAAAACAAGGTGTAAGTTAAAGGTTAAGGTAATTAGATATGTTAACTAAGGATGTCTCTGTGTCTCTGTAATACTATCTGTGGTAGTATAATAATTATAAAATAATTCATTAAGTGATTCAACGGGGTAGAGAAGAGATCATATCAATTGATGTAGTGAAATCATACAGTGAATTACAATAACAAACCTAATACGAACTTATATATATATATAAATAACATATACTGATACAACATGATACGATCCCATACCAATTCGTGTGATAAAGTATCATAGAGCTCTCACTAATACATATAGTGATAAAGTATGATAGAGCTTATACCAATACATATAGTGATACCTTATGAGAGAGCTCATTCCAATTCTTATAGTAATACAGTATGATAGAGCTCATACCATGATGATATAAAATGAAAGAAGAGCTCATACGATTTCATATAACTGTTCAGAATAACAAAGATCATACAAATTTATATTGTGATACAGCATGATAGAGCTCATACGAATTCATAGTTATTAAATAAAGTTCATACCATTACATACAGTGAATTCATCTGGATACAAAGCAAAAAGAGCTAAGCTATGTATGTGCAAACCCTACCGTATGTCCGATATTATCGTATGTCGAATACATGAGAAATGTTTGCATGGAACTGGTATGGCCCCGGAAACAAAGATATCTACATCTATAAAAAAAACATTACACCGTCTTTAGTCTAATATTTTATTTCTTTCTCACGATGATACAAAAATATGCAAATAAATAAAAAAGGGGTGAACTATTTTACAATAAAATGAGAGAATAGTGTGATGATTCAAGAATAACGATTAAATAACATTCAATATTTTCTACAAGATATTCTTTTAAAAAATATCATTATTAAAGCTAACGTGAAGGCAGAAACATTATGGATATTAATCTTCAAGGATAGGGGTAAAACCCAATAACAGGGAGTATAATAAGCAATGTAAGAGGCCAACACTTGTGATTATATAATTCATAGCCCTAAGCGTGCCATTAGTCTATCAGTTTAATTCTGGATTTCAGTGTTATGTAATATAAAATAAACTCTTAATGCCACAACAAAAGTTATATAACATAACATATATTTTCTTTAACTTTTGGACCCACGTAACGTTACTCGGGTGAAACTCTTTCAAATTAAATTTCTTGATGATATATGCAATATACATTGTCAACATCACAACCATTACCGATTCACTTACAGGAATTTAATTCCCAATTGCCATGGATAGGGTCTTCCACGATGTTTGTGAGATTGTACCGCTCCAGAAACAATAATATCACGCCCGACAGTTACTGGGTTTCTCTATGTTAAAACTCCTTGCTTTGACCACACGTGCGAGCTGATCGATTTATATATATTATATTACGATATAGTTCATTATTTTGTGTGTCTGTCGAAAACAACATTTATATATCTTTATATTTTCCGATTGCCATTATTAAATTTGGCAGATCACTATAGAAATTGTTCTATGTACACAATACTAAAGGAAAAGGTTTTGAGATCATCGCCTTATTTAGCGTTTCGTCGTTTCATCCATGTATACATGTATAACGGATTGTCCGGATCATATGAAGTACCATACAGAAAGAAAGATAGTTAAAAGCAGCATTCGTTGAAGCTCTTGTAGTAGGCTCCGTAATGTACTTTAGATCCTATTTTTACACCCGCATTTAGCAGCTACAGTGAAGGAGACAGGAAGTGCTATTCTGCCATAAAGCAGAAGCGTTGTGTAGCTTTGAAAGTTGTAAACTAAAGATCAAAATAAAACTGTTCAACCGCGAAGTCGTCTTGATTTTCTTCCTGAAAAGATATCAAAATAGAAATATTTTACTAGCTTGTTATTTCTTTACTTTTGATTTGCAGAGGTTTAACAGTATATCAGTGATCCAGTCATGTTTATCGGATTCAAGTTGTATTCGCCAATATGCATAATTGCTATTATATATAATATAGCTACTAACCTTTACGTTTAGCCAGTTTGTATTTTCGAAGACACTTCCTTTTACATCGTTTTTTCTTTCCAAAATTGTTTCCACCTGTACGACATCCTCTAAATTTCAAACATTGTCCAGTAACTGGGTCAAAATACCAACGTTTTCTTAATTTCTTGCATTGTTTGGCTTCTTCACCGAGTGGCATACCACACACGTCACGCCCGTTTTCTTCTGATGACGTCACACTGCTTTCGTCTCGTTGTGGTTTGTTACTATTCGGAAATAAATAAATCTTTCTGCTTGTTTTCTTTTTTGATTGGATTCCAAAGTCTGAAATGTAGAATGTTAAAACAAAATATTATGAGGAATGTTAAGGCCTTCTACTTTACAATTTCAAACAATTGTTGTGAGACGACGGGGATACTTTGTTGGAATGAAGTTATAGACATACTTTTTTCCTTTATAAAAACTCTTTTTTCTTAAGATAGTTTAATGTTTTATCATATTTCTATAGACATCCACTGATAAGAATTATTATTAATGAGGGTAGGCGTGCTGTGATTGTTGAGGCATTCTTGCCTTGCAGGAGCCGAGATTTAACATCACTCATACCACAGAAATAGACCAACAAGATAAGGTCGTACTATTTTCATCATCTTTAACATTGTATAAATTATTTTCAAATGTTTTATTGTTCTTATCAGAGACTATTTATCAGAAGAAATAATAAACAAATAAACATTAAAGTTGGTATGAAATGCCCTCACAATAAACACCTACACCCCTCAGGTAAATTTCCGTGAGAGATTGACACTATAAAAGATTGGATACAGTTTTATTTTGACATGGTAGCTTTAATAATTTGGATGAAAGCTTTCCTCATATTATCTGATCCAATAGCGTAGTTTTTCTTTAGTTATTCTTTTCAAATAATCTTAAAGTGTTTATCTCTTTTCTACAAACAGATTCATGTCAATGTATCTTTTATTATATGATTTAATCTTGAACGCCACAATCCAATAAAACTAAGAGTCACCAGGTGTTCTGTGCTTCAATAACTTTAATTCTCTTTTCAAATCGTTTCCACTGATAAAATAATCTAACTTCAAGGAATTTGTCTGTTCTAAGCAATCTTAAAGTAATCTAATTTCAAACATGTCGAGTTAACCTGTTTGTAGCTGTGGGGTTAAGAATTTGATAAAAAAAAAAAAAGAAAGAAAAGAAGTTATAAACGGAAGTGTGAAGTTAAAATGATATCATGAAGATGTGAATCAGGATTGATTCAACAGAACAATATGCAATTGTTCAAATACCTAAAATATTACACAAGATTTCAAACTGTACTGCAGTTACGTTATACTTCGTAATTCGATGTATAGCCCATTGTTCAAACTCAATCCTATGCATACCAATATTATGAGTAGGCCTATTTGACAATGAAAAAGTATAGTTATTTTTTGAAACATGATATAGTTGTATCCGTGTGATGTGTGATGATGCGTTCTGTTTAATTATCCCGAATTTACTAGAAAATATCAAAATAAACAACCAAATAAGGCTCATAATGACGAGTACAAAGCACTCTATAGAAAATAAATGAAGTGCATCTCTTACGCAATCTTTCTAGTTATACTAATTACAATCTGACTGAAATGATTGTCTCCACAGCATTAATTATGCAAGTCGTCGAATTATAAACATAAGTACCTTTTATTGCAACATCATCAAGAAGATAGCGCAATGAAAGATGAAATAAGCTTATAAGATGAAAAATGAATTATTTATCATTATTTTATTTAATATGTTTACCATCAATCCGTATTGACACTGTCTTTGGGAATTAACAGCAGCTTTTAGATCAATTTTTGATTGTCAACATTTTAATCAGATTATTTTTTCTCATTATTTATTCATAACATAAAGAATAGCTCGATCAAAATAGATTGAAACCTCGATGGAAATGGTATTCATATAAAGAATAAATAAATACTATTTTACATTGAGTTGCTTGAAATATCTAAGGCCGTTAGCACAGGATATGAAAAGACAGTGTTAAAGTATTGATCCTTATTGAATACCATTCTATATACAGTTTTATTAATACTAAAATAACTTTTGAAAGAATGGCTACATGATGGAATTAATTCAAGTATGTTAGAATTACTTTAGGTGTTGGGGCAATTGGACATTGCAAATCGATATATCAAACTAGCCAAGAGAATAGCAAATGACAATAATAGGATTGGTTAAGAGCAATTCAAACATGAAGTTGATTGATCCACATAATATAAGCTATGGTATTTTTGAATGCGGGTTCCAGTTTATAACTTTTTAGTAAAACGGTGCTTCTTTCTGACCAATACCAAATTATTTTCTTTCTCGGCCGAAACAATTTAAGATTTTACTTATAATGACCCCAGACCAAAATACATTGAATTTTGATCAACAGCATAAATTGATTTGTTCATCGTTCGATCGTAACAGATTAGGCAAAATACGTGGGTTTTAGAAATTTGTCATTATTCGGCAATTAGTGCATGGACATTAAATGTATAAACTCACCTTGGCAATAAGCCTTCGCCCTGCATGAAGACCATTCACAGTCTGTTCTTTTTGGGACATCAACAATACATTTTGTACCACTGTGACAGTAGATGTTCTGAAAGAATATATAATCAATTGAGCTTGTATATTGGTTACAAAGCGATCTATGAAAGAATATATAATCAATTGAGCTTGTATATTGGATATAAAGCGATCTATGAAAGAATAAATAACCAATTGAGCTTGTATATTGGTTACAAAGCGATCTATGAAAGAATATATAATCAATTGATCTTGTATATTGGATACAAAGCGATCTATGAAAGAATATATAATCAATTGAGCTTGTATATTGGATACAAAGCGATCTATGAAAGAATATATAATCAATTGAGCTTGTATATTGGTTACAAAGCGATCTATGAAAGAATATATAACCAATTGAGCTTGTATATTGGTTACAAAGCGATCTATGAAAGCATATATAATCAATTGAGCTTGTATATTGGATACAAAGCGATCTATGAAAGAATATATAATCAATTGAGCTTGTGTATTGGATACAAAGCGATCTATGAAAGAATATATAATCAATTGAGCTTGTATATTGGATACAAAGCGATCTATGAAAGAATATATAATCAATTGAGCTTGTATATTGGATACAAAGCGATCTATGAAAGAATAAATAATCAATTGAGCTTGTATATTGGTTACAAAGGGATCTATGAAAGAATATATAATCAATTGAGCTTGTATATTGGATACAAAGCGATCTATGAAAGAACATATAATCAATTGAGCTTGTATATTGGTTACAAAGCGATCTATGAAAGAATATATAATCAATTGAGCTTGTATATTGGTTACAAAGCGATCTATGAAACAATATATAATCAATTGAGCTTGTATATTGGATACAAAGCGATCTATGAAAGAATATATAATCAATTGAGCTTGTATATTGGTTACAAAGCGATCTATGAAAGAATATATAATCAATTGAGCTTGTATATTGGTTACAAAGCGATCTATGAAAGAATATATAACCAATTGAGCTTGTATATTGGATACAAAGCGATCTAAGAAAGAATAATCAATCTATGAAATAATATAATCAATTGAACATTGAATACAAGGGGATCTTTGAATTTAAGAAACAGCCCTTATTTACTAAAGGGTCAAAGAATCTCATTTTAATGGTGCCTATATGCTTAAAAATTCACAAATATTTTTGAGCCATGAAGTCATTATAAAAGAGATAACAAGTATAAATGTAACGTGAGAACCATATGGACGGAAACAAAGAATACGTTTAAATTACAGCTCAACTTGGGGAAATTATAATTATATTTCACCCGATATAAAAACATATTGAAAAGGAAGCAATTAGATGTTAAGAGTGACATTTCAACTTGATAGGTAAACTAGGTTTCAAGGGCTTGAAACTAGATTTATGTCGAGGAGATAACACACAATCAGACATATACCAAAGCTATCATTCAAAAACAACATTCATAAAAAACAAATTACCATATAAACAGAAGCCATGAGTGCAAGGATGGGCACCGTTTAGTTTGGAATCAAGAGTAAACGAAAACTCTACAAGTAGATGTATGATCTTTTGTTCATGTTTTATTTGCAACCCTATCTTTTCTGTGATTTTGTCATCGATCACTTGGTCAAGTCAACAACCACAAAAATATAATTGCAAGAAACCTCAATTCGGATTATAGTGTTCTACTAAGACAGTAAGTGAGTGCATTAATACCAAATCATCACCGATAATATTAAATGATATAGATGCTGATATGGAAGACATTAACCTCAATAATAACACAATACTAGTGATAGAAAATGTTTTAAAACCATTTCCCTGTTTTGTTTGTTTATCTTTAATCTTATGCCAAATAACACAGTATTTCGTTTTCCCCAGGGGCAGGTAATCGTGTTTACCGAAAGTTAAGTTCTCGGAATATGAGCCTGGTGATCAAGAATGTCTCCATTGCATATGTTACTCAAACTTATATGATTTTTTATATTACAATAACATCACCATTTTCATACAGCCAAGGTTGTAGAATGTCTAAAGAAAACATCGGGTTTTATCAGAGCTGGCTAATCTCTAGCAGAGTGAAGATGGAAAGGCAAGAATGATTTGAACCTTGGAATCACAATGGTCTCATCATATAGATCTGTTATCCAATCACAATATTGGGATAGGTTGGTTAGATGTACTACTAAACACACCCAGAGGAAATTGTCTTACTTCTATTGTTTTTGTTTACAGTATAAGTAAAGGTGAACTGGTAGTTTTGTCTAGATCTTATAGGTTGTTAGTATCCATATCGGCAAGACATGAGAGACGAAATCAACCAACCCATTAGAGACAAGCATTTCTATACAAGTTTGAACATAGGAACCTTTTAAATAACCGATATAATAGGCAAATTGAAGAAAAGATCAGCCAAATCTATAGACAATATACTAGGATATATCAGTTAAAGATAGTAAAAAAGGCTTGTAAACAAAGGGACTCTCACAAATGAGGGAGGACTAAAATGTTCATAGGCTGACTCGGAAGGAGTTGTGGCACAACAATAAAATGTATACAATGTATAGATTATATTCAACATCTTCTACTACAAACGACATTTCAGATCAACTGACGCTCAGTAATTCAAGAAGAACGAAATTCAAGAAGGAACAGATCCGATGTTCAATCTCACTCAAACCGAATCTAAAAGGTATGCAGGAGTTGTAAAGTTTAGAAAAAGTTTTCTACAAATTGGTATTCGTGTTTTCTATTTACATAAGGTCACAACACCACAACACACGAAAACATGTTTCAAAATATGACTTTGATAGTAATATTACCAACATCATGCAACTTCAATTGAAATAAATACCCTTCACAACATATGATATGATAATTGCATAAAATACATTTGATAGTAACGATTTACGGTTGTCGATTGCAACAAGTTCAACGATTTTATTTCAAGGATACGGGATGTCATGGTATGGAAATATCAAAAGGTGAAGATTAAAAGTCAATTCAAGGTGTGGTTTATAATTTGTTTTCAGCTTAACTTTCAAACTTGAAATATGACGTGTTTTCACAGGCGAAAGATTAAAATTAGTTCATGGTCGACACAAATCTACTATCTTATTTCTCAAATTACGCCTTTAGTGTACTGAAATGTTTACATCACATTCTTGGTGCAATATTAAGTGGTTTCGCGACTCGTTAGTACTTACAAGGTTCTCGAAATACGTCAACCTCTAATTTCAATCGGTATAAAGCATACAAGAACATTCCTGAGATCCTTTCTATCAGAATATAAAACTCAGCTCTTCTCTTATTGAAAACAGATACATACAAAGTTGAATATAGGGTCTATGTTTAATTCGAGGTTCTGAAATTGATAACATATATATGGTATGTTCTATGTCAGCAGTTTAATATAAATTATTTTAGGGCTATTCAAAAGTGTCTAAAAATGGAAGAAAGGACTTAAAAAGACAAAGAACTGCGTCACACACCTACGTGTTTGACACCCCATAGAGAAAGATAAACTTTTAAAGAACCAGATAAGAAACCAACATGAAAACTCAGGATGCCTTTAAATCTCTTTTAACTGAATTATTCTCTAAAGACCACTATAGAAGTTTGTCGTCGGCGAACAGATTAAAAAAATGTGAAATCAATTTCCAGAAAGTAAATTGTAGCCATATGCTACTCTTTCTGGAATTTCTATGACGTTGTTTTTATATGAAAAGCAGGCCATGGCCACTGTTTACTTCTAAATTTAAGAAAAAAGTAAAGAGTAAAATAAAAACAAGCTGTCAAAGGAAATTCTTGTCTTGAAAAATTACTTTATTACATTCTAATTGAAGTCGAATGAAACTAACACACGCTTTTATTTCTAAATTCTTCAAATTTTAATAGTACTGCATTTTGTAGTGACAAGAAAGAAATTATAAGATCTCTAACATTCAACATATCAAGGTTATCTCCTAGTTATACTATCTTGTTGGTCTTGATGGTTCATTTGCTACGATAACTCAATCATATAGATCTGAAATGTTCCCCTCATACAACTTCGGACGATGGTCGACCCATCTAAATAACTAGAAATAATCTTGACTAGAGCTAACTGAATGGAACTGATCAGTGTGTTGGTGGTAACAGGGTCTATGTTGTTAGCCATGTAACATTTTCTTTGGATAATAGGCAAAGCTAAGGGGACCCCCATCGACGTCAATTTTTTCGTTATATTTCTGATTGTTGGGCATTAGTACAAATATTTCCTGCCATTATAGTTATTCTGGTAGCAAAGTGAAGCATATTTCTTCCACGTGGTACCTGCGTGTGCAGAAAAATGCATTCAGATACAACATGAGAATAGATTCTAATGTAAAAAAATCCTACTACTTCCGATGTTAAGAAACTTCAGCAATCTAGTAAGCCATTGTTCTGTCCTGAATTACACAAGAAATTACAGTTATTACTACATTGAAACCTATTTTGAGGGTTTCATTCAAAGATATAGTCTTGACCAGAAAATTCGCCTGAAAAGTAGGGTCAAAATTGTTTAACAATGAAAGGAAATGGATTGCTACTTTCTAATTTCTGTTGCAGATTAGACTCAAAAATGTTTATGTTTAATGGGGTAAAGTTTACCAGTACAGAGGCATTCTGAGATAAAGATAAATAGGTCAGGAGAATACTATGAGAAAAACCAGAGTCTTCATTAGCCAAGTATTTCTTTCAATGAATGTTTTTTCTTTCTGAGAATGAAGTAACTCGACACCTTCTGAAGTTCATTCATAATAAAACCACCCTACGTTAACTCATCACTCATCTATTTCTAGCTACTATATTCTAATAATAGAATGTTTTTGGTACTACAAATAAACAGGATAATCGACGTGCAGAGATAGATGAAGGTACGATGCATGAAAACTCATTGGGAATCTGACTATGAATAATTATAACCCTCGGTTTTGTATATCATGATGGAAACGAAGATTTTTCCAATCGAAACTTTGAAGATGGGTTTCCTTATTTTTAAGTGTCAAATTAAGCAAACTATTTGATTAATTGGTGTTTCTTGTGAATTATCATGTATTTTTAATCATATCATTATGTTCTTATTGCATATAATTAAGAGTTTTAACCAATCATAAATGTCCATGTATGTACACAGTCTGGATAAACAGAAAACCTTGCTTGATCGGTCACTCATTGGAATTCTGATGGCAGTTCTCTTCTAATTTAGCTAATTATGAATTAATTATGGTATTTTCAATTGAAAACCTCTACTTTCTATTCATATAAGTATTAGTATTTTCATTTTCAAAAATAAGGGAACCCATCTTTAAAAGATACTAGGGAAAATGAGGATCTTTCATGTCACTATTGTTGTCAGGCCAAAGTATCAACCCTTATGTCAATGTTCAGATAAGATGACATAGATATGAACGAAAGCGATTACCAAATTGTCGAATTCATTGAACACAGCGAAGTTATGTTACAAGTCATTTGTAGATAGGCAGGTGATTTAGATACATATATACAGATTATTACATTAAATAAGTCTCACATTGAAAAAAAGTTGAAATTGCAATAAAACATAATATCATTTCAAAATGTCAATTTATATCTATGTATTTTATATCTGTAAACAAATTTAATCAAGTGGTATAGGACAAATGTGAAAGTACTTGAAACAGATTGAGACATATTTGACAGTTGACCTTATCATTTGACCTTAAATACAACCAATTACTACAAACTACTTCATTAATTAGTGATAAACAAGATATACATAGTCAAGGTTAGGAAATGAAAACAATAAAAAAGGTCAACAAATTTTAGCCAGATGTGCCTCTGAGATGGGACTTCTGATAATCGGAGACTAAGTTGACGAGTGACTTTGCCTTGTGCTCTGACGTGATGCTATCTGAAGCTACCTGATAAACAGGTACGTGCTTTTTATG